TTTAGCCTGTGATAGAATATTTAATTGGAGTGATTTATGGGATTGATTTTATGAATCCTCCATTAATGCATTTTCCATATTTATCGCTTTGTTCTTTCACCTATAAATAGAGGTGTTCATTGTAAATAATCTCAAAAGAGAGTATAATAAAGATATGTAGCCCTTTGGGCTTTGTGTTTGTGTTCTTCATGTTTTAGTTTCTCTCTTCAACTTTTTATATCTTTCAACAAATACCTCCCAACTAATTTAATTATAGTGTGTGTTCCCTTTGCATACATCTATCAACTTGATTAGTGATGACTTTCTTGTGTGGTTAATATGCAGTTCAGTCTGATTATCTAGTTCACCATCAATCAGTATCTGTCAATGAATGAAAAATGTGTCCATATCCTACAAAGTTACGTGCAGTGATTTATTATTCTTCTTTTGTTAACATTATTCTTCTTCTATTAACTTATAAAGGTGGCTGTTGTTTGACTCATGAATCTTAATATCCAGTAAGTAATGAATTTTCAATTTTCAAGATCAGCATATGTGCATGTACAAGTGAATCTGTTTTCCTCTTGATGTATAGGGCTTAGACAAAAATGATACCCATAAGCTCCAAATTGGTTTACACTTATTTTACTTTTACTTAATGACTTCTTAAATCTTTCTAAAATTCTAATTGTCCATCGAAAATGTCAAATCGCTTAAGTTCTGGGAATTGTCTGTCTTCCTTGTAGAATGAGGCTGTCTTGAAGGCATGTGCTGAACCACCACCGTCAAAAGCTTCACAGGCTGGTGCTGAAGGAAATGGGGAGGAAAGGAAGAGCAGTTAAGATTAGCTAAGAATGACTAAGAACACAAAAATCCTAAAGGGAGTACTGTGATCTTGCCTTGATTCTTAATTGCGAAATCCCATTCATGCCTCTTTGATTTCAATTTTTAAAAGAGCCAGAAATCATAACTGACCACCATACTGTTCCTTATATCATAAAATCTATGGGAAGTGTTGATGTGCATCTATGTTTAGTGAGGAATATTGTAGCAGCTGTCGTTATTGGATCTTATGTCTTCTTCGCAAGCCTTACCGAATTGAATAGCTAGTGAGAATATTCTAATCCTTGCTCATTATGATGTATGACTAAAGCCTCATGATCACCCTTTTTTATGGCTGTGTGTTGGCACTAGAGTTCAACTTTTTTAGCATCTCCTGTTCTTTAAAATGAGCTTGAGTGAGAATATGCAATATCCTTGCTAAATATCATACAAAAAAATGTTTAAAAGTTGATAACCAAAGAAAACATGCTTTGGAATGGGGGGAACACAATTGAAAATACCCTCCATCTTTTATTTCCAAAATTCAAGTATTTCCTTTGGCCACTTGACACTGAAAGAATTTTGCAGGACTTGAACCAAAAAAAAAAAAAGAGGGGGAGATTTTTTATTATTTTTTTTATAAGTAAACGTGATGTAAATTTAAGGACATTGATTGTGTGCGACATATGAAGTCTGGATTAGTATAAAGTTTGCTCAATGGTATTTTGGAGTCAAACAGGTTCCTTTCTTGGTGGGGAAGGTTGCTGAATTCTTAGGGTTCAATACGAGAATATTTTGTTCTTCCAAATACAACTATAGGTAGGATGATATTGGCTCTTCTGATAAGATGATGACGTCCATTTTAGTTTGAAGATAAACAATGTTGGACAGGTTCATAGACTTGAAAACCACCAAAAGATAATCAAAACACTGATCTTGACACTGAAGAAACTAAAACAAATATGTAAATCCCCTTCTATAAATGTCACTATAAAGTACAAAACCATAGAGCTTAAGGAGATCCTTCTGTCCAGTCTCCGCTTGTGCACCCAACATTTAATGTGCATGTGTTAGACAAAATTGTTGAATTTACAGCTTGAAGATTCAATGTTTTTGTCATATTAGTAGAGCTTTCAGTGTTCCTTGCCTTGCTGCATTTGTTGTGCTTAGCCATTAAAGGATATCTGTGGTTGCACAGAAAATGTGTCTAGACACTACGTTTCATAATAATGCAGGTTGTTGCGGTCCCATTTGCCAATCTATCAATGAGCTCAGCAATCAATTGCTTCAATTCCTGGAGCAACCTCTTGTTTAAGCAACAGCCTAAGCAATTTATTTCCCGTCAACGGTTGCCGCAGCTCACCGGCTAAACAGGTTTTTTTGTCATTTTACATTTTTAGGGGTAAATTTATTGATTCAGACCATCAATGTGAAATTATTTCTAGATTCAATGCTTGTGATAAAATTTTGGATGATCTTATAGATTGATTGGGCACATGCGATGGTTGGTGTGGGAGGAAGTTTGAGAAGTCCTCAGGGTCCCACTACATTTATATTTTCTTGGGGTGGAATTATATTTGATCAGACTATTATTTGAATGTAGTTAGAAAATTGAAGGTGTCATTGTTGCAGGGATACTAAGCAACCCCTTATTAATCTTGTCCAATCAAACAGCACATGAGTGGTTGGTTTTTGAACTGGTCAATATACATAATTGTGAAACACATTCACATTCACATTCATCAGTGTCTGCTAAATAAAGTTTTCATATTGTCAAAAATGGCCCTCCTATTCCCAAACGACATAGGTGACCTTGTACGATTCAAGGACTTGTGGGGTTCATTGACCCAATCAGGTTTGGCTATAAGAGTTGTATCCCAGTGAGTGACTGTGTGTGGTCTACCATGACGGGCTGCCCACGTTATTGACAATATAGAGCCCCAAGTCAGCAATCCTCATCTCTCTCTCTCTCTCTCTCTCTCTCTCTAGATGAAAAAGAAACGCATGTGCCGAAAGGGTGACGTGAAAAACTCCAACAGCTTTAGATGCTTCTGAGAAGCCAAGGAGCAGATCTTAGTCTAGCGGGTTGCCTAGATCAGTAAGAAAGCCAATGATGGAGACAAGTTGATAACACTTCTAAAAAAAATTGAAACCATGTAGTAATTTTTTGTTGTTTGTATAGGGTTTGTAAACAGTAAAAATTTATTTATGAAGAGATCGGATGGTTTGTATAGAGTCGATTGTATTGGTTTGTACATATATTCGAAACGAAGAAAGAACTCTTCTAATCTGGTGTACGTTATGCGAGAGTCAAAGAGTTTGTCTTCTTCCGGAGGAGTACAACATGCTCAAGTTTACGATTTGCTCCAAAGGACCATTACTTGTTGGGTCATTCGTGTAGGTTCTTAAAAATACCAAAATAGGAAAAAAAAAATAATAATAATAAATAGCATTAGCCTAATATATACTATAGTGGAATTAAATACTTTAATCAAGCGTTGTTATATGCCGTCCTCTGTCCAACCTGGTTCCACTTGGCATTCCCGTAGAGGGTTGTAGCCCACCTTTTAGCCGTAGCAGCTTCACCTCTTACCATAATGTCAAATAGAAACCGCCGGAAAATAATATCATATCATATGTTTTGGATGGTTATGATCACACAATAAGTAGTTGTTGGCTTACATTCTACTATTATAATAAGATTGATGCTATCCAGTGGGTTTCAATCATGTATATGTGAGCGTTCGGCTCAGACAAATTGGAATGTTTATCTTTATAATAAGATGGATGAGTCAACCATGTTAGACGATTACTCATTTGATAAAGGAAATATATTTTTTTTGAAAAATTAATTTTTAATTTTTACCCGGAATAAAATGTCGAGTAGCGTTTACTAATTTTCAATTTCTTAAAATTCTATCAATTTCTATGGAATCTCACGAACGTGTATGTGTGTGTGTATATATATATATGTTTTTTTAATTATGATGAATGAGTCAATCATACTTATAAACGATCACCTGTTTGACAAGGGTAAGACAATTAAGAGATGGTTCCTTTTGAAAATAGGATGTGAAACGAAAAATTATTTCACTCCAAATAAAATATCGAGTAAAGTCTACTAATTTTCAAAATTTTATAAAATTCTACCAATTTTCTATTGAATCTCAACTTGTCAATGTGAAACAAAGAAGATACCTTAATCTCCTTATTACGCAACACAATCACTTTTAGAAATGTTCAGGTCAAAATTAGGGTAGTTGGAAAATGGTAGGAGAATCTCTCTGCTCACTCTGCTATATGTTGTCCAACAACTTAAACAAGGTTATGCCCACAAGGAATCTATGACTTTTATCATCGTATAATCAAAAAAGCTTAAATCAAAAGTTGTCTTCCTTGCACAAGAATATATGTCATATTGTTATTCGAGTCTCTCTACCTGCACCAACAAGTTTTGTAGATTCAAATTTTTAGTTAATTCTGTTTGTTTTGAGGATAATAACTCAATTTCCTAGAATTTATGCGCACAATGTCTTAGTTTCAAACAAGCCTTACTCATGTTATTGTTAAAAGAGTAGTGATACAAGGGGCAACACCCGACCCGAATCAGGATCACTCCTGTTGTGGGATCTCGTATTTGTGTCTTGTATAGTTATATTATTATTTTTGTTACGTTGGCACGGGATGTCTTTTGGCATAAGAGAGGATCCTGATTCCACCCGACTCACCCATTGTGTTGGCACGGGATATCTTATGGCATAAGAGAGGATCTTGATTTCACCCGACTCACCCATTGTATGAGGGGTCATTATTGCGTCACCCATTGTATGAGGGGTCAGTATTGCGTCACCCATTTAAGCATTTTCTTTTTTAAAATTATACCAAGGGAACCTACTTATCAAAAAAAATTATACCAAGGGAACCTCATGCGAAGGTCAGAAGGTGATCTTGCAAGGATCATATTCTTATTCTTATTCTTATTCTTCCCAAAATGGATTCTCTTTGTGACAAAGTTCTCACAAGTTCTATACTTGCAAGTATATATGCTACTTAGCCTACTTACTATCTTTTCCCTCCTCTTTCCATTCCTTTTTCCCTCGTTTGATTCTATTCCTTGAAAATCAACCACTTTTTGTTAAAGAAAAAAGCTTTGCATGATGAGCAGAACAATGCTGAATCATAAACATTTTTGGGATAGATTTAGATGCAAAAAAGAGAAGATTATCACTAATTCTGAATTATGGGATTGAATACAGAGTACCATCTATCAACATCAAATTTTCTCTCCACAATACTGGAAACAGAAAGAGACGTGAAACTGAGTTACCAAACATTAATAAACTTCTAAGATGGTTATTCTGATGGAATATTGGAAGCTCGATTACTCATTCAGAAACTGCTTACTTCAAGTATTTAAGGCCAAGGTTTTCTTCTAAAAGGGGAGAAACTATTGCAACTACTGCTTTCTTCATGATCATTTGATTCATGAGAAGAGACCTCTGTGATCCCACTCGAACCCGAAGACGACGACGAAGCAGGGGCTAGGTTTAAATCAGTCCTGCCCTTGGCCATGAAATCATAGAAAGCAGGCCTAGCTTTCTCAACACTCCCAACTCTGTTACCATTGCAGGTCTGTGTAATGGTCTCTCCGTCATTTCTAGTACTTCTTCTTTTCAAAAATATTCGGCAAAGAACCCAATTCTCCAATTGCACCCTAGAGCTCTGTAGCACATTAAGTACAAGAATTACTAACAACAAATCAAAGAAACAATAGCAAGTTTGTTTCTACATTAGAGTGCCACTCAGTAAAAATGGGCTAGTCTAGTGTAAGAGGATCCCGCATTACGGGGGTCTGAGGAGGAGGGTCGGATGTAAACAAGCTAACCTTTAGGTTGTTTCCAATTTTGAAACCGTGACTTTTAGGTCACAATACAACTTTTAGGCATATTCAGTAATTTTTCATTAGGGTAAGGATAAATGTAATAAAGGTATAATATGAGTGAATTCTCACCATGGCCGTGTCCTTTTTTTGTGAGGCAGCGTTGGCTGTGGTTTGGGGACTTTGTGAGGCAGCGTTGGCTGTGGTTTGGGAACCGGCAAGGCGGTACTCGTGCATGATCCAATCAGTTCTAGTGCCATGAGGGGGCTTTCCTCTGTAAAAAACCAGAGTTTTTTTGGTCCCCACAACTCTGCTATGGCTACTAGAAGCTACAATTTGCTTGTCTGTTCCGGTGGCCTTCCAGTAACCGGAAAAAGTGGCTCGGTTTGATCGGTTCCCATTCGGGTATTTGGCTTCCCTGGTGCTGAAAAAGTACCTCTCTTGCTCCGAATCACCTATAAAAGTTTCATAGAGTTTTGTCACTTGAAGTCGAAGAACATTTGGTTCTAAAAGGAGCTATATATTGTTCAATGTGAGCTATATATATGAATAGCATCTTGGTAGTCACATGGAAAATTATATAGTTATACTACGATGACGACGAATGACAATCAATCTGGATATGCCTTGTTATGGCAAGTAGTAGTACTAACTAACCTGGCAAATCCCAAGGATCAGGCTTGAAAACATCGAGCTCCGGGATGATTGAGGCGGGCAGGGGGCACGAGAAGGCCTTGCGTTTCAAGTACTGAACAACGAGCTCTTCGTCGGTGGGGTGGAAGCGGAAGCCAGGAGGTAATCTAAGAACACCATTCTTGACAAAGTTGAGCTTTTCCATTCCAGAAGAAACACCTCACACACTTGAAGTAAAAAAGTCCCAACACTTCAATTCAAATTGAAACCCAAAACCCAACTGAGCTCGAGTTTCTTGGGACTTATGTAGAGCTCTTAGAGATAACCCATCAAAGTGGAGTATAGATGTACATATAACAAGAAAGGGGAAGGAGAAGAAAAGGAAGACACACAAGGAAAAGGTGAAGGGTGGGTATGTGAGTGGGAAAAGTGAGGGTTCTTTATAGACGAGAGGGGGAGAGAGAGGGGGAAATGGAATAAGGTCGAACTGTTTTGCGTAAACCAGACTCAATCTCCTTTGCAAAATGCTTAGGGGCACCAAAAGTTTCTTTTTTCGGTCAAATTAAAGGTTGATTTAATCTGTAATTACCTCGATAATTCAATGAATTAATATTTTATAATTTGAATGAAAATAAATAAATAAATAACATTAATTAGGAAAAAAAAAAAAAGCCGGTGATGTTAATTAAAAGACACTAAAGAGAAAAAATAAATAAATAAATAAATAAATCATTATTTTATTTTGTTAAAAAACCGAAATGGAAATTCACCCATTTTTAAAAGATACTATAAAATAAAAAAAAGAACAAAAGCCAACTTCGACCTTTGTGCATGTGAATAACTGTAGCTGTTAAAAGATCTTTTGAACATTTTACTCTTTCATATAAAAATGAGATTTCTCTCTCTTTCAGATTGAAATTTAAAATTACATGATTCTCCTTTACATGAAGTTGAAAGGTCAAGCTTGAAAGATAGAAAGCATCAAGTGAGTAGTAATTGTTGGACGGTGGAAGAGGTAAATTGGTCTATTTGTGTAAATCTGATTTTCATACAAGGGACCACAGGAAGTTCTGGTTTTGAAGTTGTATGTGACCTAGACCTGGTAAAGGTGAAGTGGCCTCATGTCACGCTTACTGAAGGAGCTCCTTATCATATGGTGAAGTTAAAGTACTAAAGTACCCATGTATTTATGAGTTATATGGTACAGTTGGATGCTTGCAAGAGAGAGACAAGAGTAGGGTGGTTGGTTGGTTAATTATAGCTCAAACACAATGCCTTCACCGCTTATGGCAATACTGTGTGAAACTACAAACTGTAAGATTAATTTGGTAAAAAAAAACCATGTGCGAGTGTCATCATTTGGTGGGCGTTGACCAGTCAATATCCGGCCCGGCCCGGCCCGGCCCGTGAGCTAGTCTGACCTAGGCTGATGGATGGGCGAGCGGACTAGTTGGTCTAAGACATGTTTTCGACAATTAACTCACTTCGAGAGAAGACCTTTTATCTTTTTAAGTATTACAGTGCAAGATGGTCGAAAGTAAGAATTCTGGCAAAACACAGCTCATTGTGGTCACAACAAGCCATTTTAGATTCTTGTTTTCTCCACCATGCCAGTAAATCAAGACCTTTATAATTTCAGTGAAAAAAAAAAAAACAAGCTCTTTTCATCTTTCTTCTCAAGTTTGGGTATGAAAAAAAGATACTTTATTCTTTTAAAAATATATTTAGCTATAATTTTTTATTTTATCCTCTTGAGTGGCAGGGGTGGTTCCTTGAAAGCTACAATGAGCTGGAGATTCTTCATTGACATCTCTTTTTCCACTAATTACTTAATCATTTATTGATTGTAATAAATAAAAATAAAAATAAAACTTCATGGATTATTATTGAAAGGGGTTATTTAGTCATTGTGCAATTTTGTGACGCCCCCAGAGGGGTGGTTGGAGGAATAATAAAGATGGAGGAGTATTTATGGTGTAGGGGTCCGAATGCAACTTGCCTCGTAAGACTTGGAACACTCGTGCCTGATTTGGGGATAAATGACAAATAAGCCATTTTCAATTGATGCCCCCATTTCTAGATTTCTTCTTATCTTCTTGTCTCACTATCTCAGATCAGATGTAAAGAATCTCTATCAATTGGCTGAAATGACCGGAACACCCTTACTATGACTCCTAATGACGTTTGCAAATTGCACCACAACACAAGTAGATCACCATTTTTTAGTCATTATTAACAATCTAACTTTTCCTTGTACATTTTACATGCTACCTTAATAATAGAACATAGTACTAATTTTGCACCAAACTAGTGTTTCACCAAAATAAGATGTAGTTATAGGTGGAAATGAATGGAGGGCCCCAAAAAGGTCAAAAATGGAGGCCCCAAAAAGGTCAAAAATATCAGTGGATATATAGCTAACAGAGGATGAAGCATCATTTATCAGTTTTGAATTTCCAACAATGGATGGTCTAAAAAGCCCATTTTTTATCCGACATTGCACAAAATTCTACAACCCAATAAGGGTATTAAAGTAAATTAATTTATAGATGAATTAAATTAATTCATGAGCAAATGTTTTAAGAGACTTGAATCTTTTATTGTTTAACTTGAGAGACAGATCTGTTAAATAGAATCTTATACTTTTCAATTTATTAGATTAAATAAAATAAAATAAAAAGAGCAACAAGAAGAAGCAACTTGATTATATAGGGAAAAAGGAATATTTTTTTGGGACAATTTTATGGAATTGGAATGAAAAATAAAGAAAAAAAGACAAATCTCGATAAATAAAAAAAAGAAGATTAGATTCCCAACAGCAAATGTTCTCAACCCACTTGTTTGGTTGTTTAAGAAGAAGGGTTAAGTGTGAAAAGAAAAGTTTGTCTTTTTGTAATCCAATTTGCGGCTGTGATTTTCCTTTCCTAGTGTCTCTCTTATCTTCAAAATTTTGTTTGGTTAGGAGTCAGAGGAGTTTGCGTGTGGGTGTTGAAGAGGGTTTTTGGGGGAGAGAAACGTCAAAGGGCTGCAATTATTGTGTGGTTTCAAGTAAAAAATGTTGTTCAGTGGAACATTTCTTTATGCTTTTAATAATAATCTAAAAGCTCTCTCTCTCTTCTCTAGTGGGCCTTTGGTTGGGGTTTTTGGGAATTTCCTTCTTCTAACCCTCTTTTTCTTTTATGGGGTTTCTGTCTAATTGAAGAGTATTTTGGTTTACACTTTTTGAGGTTGCCCTCCTTTGAAGCATTTGAATACCATGGTGTGTTGGGATACGCATTGACTTTTTTTTTTTTTTTTTTTTTCATCTTTTAGATGATGTAATAATATTTTATATATACGAGCATTATTCAATAGTGTAAGACAGCCTAGTTTGTCGAGCAAATGCCTCATGTTCGAGTCTCTATTCTTTCTTGTTTGTTAGGAATACATATATAGATAGATGGATAGTGGGATAGAGATCTAGAAGTGGGATTTTATTATATGAATAGATGGCCTAAAAGTGTAGTCCTTATGAAAATATATATATATATAGAGAGAGAGAGAGAGAGAGAGAGAGAGTGGGAGAGAGATTTAGAAGTGGGGTTTTATTATATGGATAGACAAAGGAAATTATTAAGTGAAAAGAATTGCATCAAGTAAAAGAGGAAATGATGTTGAAGAAGAAAATAGAAGTGATTTATGTCAATCATTCAAGTATTATGATCTTGTTTCTTGAAGCATCATTCCATTTGTTTCAACTAGTGTCTACATTACTGTCACCATGATTTGGATATAAGTAAAACGTTTATGCTTTAAGTTGGATTTTTCTTTTCTTTTTTTCCCTTTCTTTCTTGAACTAGACACATTTCGTTAGATAAGTAATACACACTATTCCCAAAAAAAAAATAGAGAAATTGATACATAATTTCCGAACACACTAGCCGACATGCAAGCAAATGAATCAACTTTGTCTAAGTTTTATTCTGTACGTCCAAATTAGGTTCTAAAATCTTCCTAATTAAATCCTTATTTGTGAATGATCCAGAGACCTTCACGAGGTGATTGTGCATGGATGACGCTTTCAAGATATACAAGGAAAAAAAAAATTACCAAGTATTATATGTTCCTGCTACATTTTAATTATAGTTTCAATTGTTTCAAGCTCTACTTAGTCTATACATGTTTGTGAAATTCAACTAAGAAGTCTCAATTCTTTTTTATATATGGCTTTTTGCATGAATTTATTTATTCTTGTTAGTACACATATTGTAACTATTAAACGTACATTGAATGTACTTTTATGTGTATGAGACGTAATTTGTAACTAAAAGCATCTATGTAAAATAACAAAAATGCAGTTGCTTTCCTCCCACGTGCCTACTTATAAATGTGGAAGACTTTTTATTCTTTTTTGGTAAGAAATGTCAAGCCACACATGACATCCAAGTAACTTCCTCAAAACTCAAATGAACAAAAGATGAGAACAAAGTTGTCTATGGTCATGTGAACATCAACCTAAATCGAAAGGAACATTTGTTTCCCTCATTCTTCGAAGGTGAGTTATGCTTCCACTCTAAAGCAAACTAGATCACCTTTAACTTTACTGCACATGTTTTTTTTAAAAATAATAATAATAGTTTTAAATAACCAGGTATTCGGGATTTTTCAACAACTAAATATCCAGAACATCGTTCAAAACACCCTCTCCACACAAGTCGGGTAAAGCTCGAGCTTTCACCTACGAACATAACTCCCAAAAAAATGTTTACACTCGAGACGTTGAACCTTAAACTTGATACTTAATAAGGCACGAGCTCAAGTAGCATAAGGTAGGAGGTCTTTGGAAAAAAAAACTTCTGACCTAGATCCAAACAATTTAAATAGAGATTAGCCCATGGTTATGGCTGGGCAAGGCTCAGTTTGAAGTTTGCCTTTGGGCCCAAAAATGGCTGGTCCTCTAGACGAACATAAAAACTTGAGATTGCATTTTCACACGTTTCAAGCCAAGGAACTGTTTTTTTCTTTTTCTTTCTTGGGCAATGACATGGGCTACACACAGCCAGAGGGAGTGTAGGCTAGTCCTCTCACTCCAATATATGCTAGCACACAACTGTGTGAAGCTTTTATGCAACCCTGGTTATTTGCACGTACCATGTTGTTCAAGCGGTTGAAATATTCTGTGTGAAAATCTGTGTTCGATCCTTGCACTCTCTCCCTCCTCTCCAACCGGGCACGCCGGGAGATTTTTACAGCTAACCCCTGACATTCTTGCCATTGACCCAAAAAACTAAAAATAAAAATAAAAATAAAAATAAAAACTCCTTAAAATACCAAAGGTTCCCCTCCCCATAACCTTGCCATGCCCTTTTTTTGCTGTTGTCCTAGCACCATATATCTTTCTGTATATATATAGTGTACAAAATCAATAAAAACAAGCCAATTAGACAAAGTATACGAGCGAAAGCCTGATTGCCTCATATGGAACCCCTTATCTATCATAAGCTGGCAGTAGAAGATGGCGATTCAGTCATGGTTATATGATTTATTGATCACAAAAAGTATGCAATTAAGCAAAATTTATTTGAGCAGAAATAACATGAAAATTCAATATACAATAATTGATTGAGACCTTATTACAGAAGTTCGATGTCTTACATCTTACCCAACAAAAAAGACTAATACAATAGGGCTACCAAAGGCGTGTCAAGTAGGAACCATCAAAGCTTGGCAAACTTGGGTTTTCTTTTTTGCTCATATGCTGAGACTGCCTCTACAATATCATCAGAGATGAGGACACCAGAATTCCAAGTAGCAACATAATCCAAACCTTGATCCAGTGTCAGGTCCCGACTTCTGAGTAACACAGCCTTCGTCCCAGTCACAGCAAGAGGAGACTTCGCAGCAATTCCTGAACATAGAATCTCTTAGTAAAACAATCAAAACACATTCAACAGCAGTGTCTTCACAGGCAGGGGAATTGAATCTAGGTCGTGACTGATCCATCTATCATCAACCCAAAAATTGATGCAACCTGCTGCCACTTCATAGTCTAATCCTTTAACCAATAGCTTCAGTATTAAATTGAACAAACCTCATATTGTGAACGTTTGATTCGGTTTGGACAAATATTCTTTTACTTATTTATTTTTAACAACGTTAAGAAAATGGTACCATCTTACAGCCTGGTTTTTCTTCTCTACAAAAACCCTGATTTACACATGTATAGCACATCTTAAACCTCAGAAACTAACCTACTGAAAGCTTAACTTTGACAGCGCAAACAACAAACATGGGAAATTTTGAAAACAAAAAGACATAATATACAATGATAAAGTTTATTCAAATTATATTATTTAAAATTGCACACCAAAGTCGGCATGTCTTTTTTACTTATTTTAAAAACTTGATTAAGATGTCAAATCTTTAACTTGCAAAGCATTTTCTAAAAAATTTCCAGTGGTTGGCATGAAGATTGAAAATATTTTCCAAATAAACAAATGTCTCATTTTGCTTTTATTTTAGTGACCCTTCCTATCTGTATTTTCATGTACCTAAATTTATCAAAACTCATTTGATCTACGGAAGTCCAAGCTGAATCCTTGAGTTATTTGACCAACTAGGGCTTTCTTTGAAGAGATACAACATGTAGTAGCCAACCATTCTTTCCTCCACCCTCACTCTCCCTTGTTCCCACTCTAGGATACAAAATAATAAAAAAATTCCAAATTCAACTACCCTCTGTAATACCCCGATATTTTAAAGGATTTATTAATTTGAATTAATTACTTTTATTTTATTTTTAAATAATTTATTTGATTCAATTTGAATTAATTGCGTTTATTTTAATTTTTAATTGATTTGTTTTATCGAGTGCTTAGATTAATTGTTTTATTTTATTTATATTTCGTGAATTATTGATATGATGATTGTTGTGTGTGTACTTAATTATTGATTGAATTGTTGGTGTGTTGATTTTATTGGTATGGTGTGACTTGATTGTAATTTTTGTTTTGTTTATTTGCTTCATGTAATTAGTTTTTAATTTAAGTGTTTATTTAATTATTTAATTTATTTAAATTAATTGGATTTGGGCTTAAGGGAAGTTGGACCAAAAGATGTGGTCTTGGGCTTTTATGAAACTTTATTTGGTTAATTAATAAAGGCCCATGATTATTTAATTATTTAAATGATAAACTTTGTATTAATTATAAATATATATATATAATTATATATAAATATAATTAATTAATAATTGTTATGGAAAGATATATATATATATATATATATATTTATATAATATATGTTTATAGATATAAATTATTTAAAGATTATTATTTTAATTCATAGTCCTAGTTGGAATAGAATTTGGATTTTAATATGTATATACACATAAGGTTTTAGAATTAAAAGTTTACATGTTAGAAAAATAAGGGAGGCAGAGAAAGAGGAAAAAGAAGGCCGACAAAGAGGAGGCCGAATCTGAAAAGGAGGACGTTTGGATTGAAAGAGACAATCAAAACTTGAAGCGTCGGTTTCGTTTCGAAACCTTCAGGCGAGTTCTTTTCTAACTTTCCTCTTAAACCTCATAAGGATTTCACCTTGAGTATCAAAATCTAAGGTTAAATTTATTGATTAAATGATGGTTAGAACGGAATATTTAAAATATGAATTATTATATATATTTTTTGAATTTTAGATTTTTATTGTTGTATATTTTGTTTACATCAACAGATAGGCTGGATTTGGACCCAAGAGGGGTTAATTAGTGTTTCTAAAATTTCTGGAATTTTTCTTAAATTTTCTGGAATTTTCTGATATTTTTCTGATATTTTTGGTAATTTATTAGAATTTATTTTTATATATTTATTGGAAATATATATATGTATATTATTTATACATATAAACACTGTTAGTGGAACGGCGCCTCAATAGGGAAGCAATTCAGTGTCGCGCGGTACATAGAATAATGGTGCGCACACTGATCTAGACCATTAGATTACTTAAATATTAATGGATTGATTCAGTACATTGCGGTACATGATATGTTAATGCACATGCGGAATCCAGCGGTTAGATTTGATTGATGAAAGGGAGATAATCTGGTGCGGGTGCATACATGTGAGCTCAAGTGAGCTAATCTGGTGTGGGTGCATTTGTGTGAGCTCAAGTAAGCTAATCCAGTGTGGGTGCGCTCACAGTAGTGTTTGAGCTCATCCAATTATTTTGTCTGTTTGTGACATAAAATTAAAACGGTCATAACTTAGTTATCTTAAATCGAAATTGGGTCATTCTTGAGCTAAAATTCAAGGATTTTTCGTCCTCTTTCCAATGGTACTAATTTCATTATCAGATTCCCATCCTACTAGAAGATATTTACGTTTTAATGAGACGGTGTCGGAAAACTATTTAAACTAATATGGAGTATTTATGGGAAACCATTTGTGACGATATTTAGTGACGTTTAATTTACGTAAATGTCATTAATTAATAGTTTGGTGATGGAAGGAGTTATATATATACTTAATTATATATGTGTATATATGATTTAATTAATTTATGTGTAGGATGGAAGGAACTATATGTATATATATATTCATTAATGTATATGTATATATGATTTTAAATAATCAAGGATTATTATTGAAGGTATTATACATATATATATTATATAATATATGGGTATATGTATATATCATTTAAGATAATTAAATTATTATTCTTATTTGATATATTATATTAGGCTGGTTATTAAATTAATCTTATACATATAATATGCATGAAATGATTATGTGTGAATTAATTTATTTTTAAGTTTAAAGTTGATATACAGTTGAATTGTAGGCATGGATGAGTTGCCATAGGCGTAAGTATTTTGCTTAAGTATTTGTATGAATAAAATACATATACAGAAAGCATGGTTGAATTGTTAATTTAAAAGTATAAATATATATACTTAAAGGATGCATGGTTGAGTTGCCAATGTATAAATAAATATATTTATAATGGCATGGTTGATTCGCCAAATGTGTAAATAAATATACTTGTGGAGGCATAGTTGATTTGCCAATGTATAAATAAATATATTTAAGGAGGCATGGTTGAGTTGCCAATATATCAATGAAAATATTTATAATGGCATGATTGATTTGTCAAAGCGTAATTAAATTGTTATGTGTTAGATGATTAAAATATCATCTATGGTTATTGTATGCATAGACTGGATTAGGATTAGATATTCTTAAATTAGAATAGTCTAGTACTTACAGGTTAGTGTATTATTTTATGCATATTAATAAAATATTACTGGTGCAGATATAGATGATTTGTCAAAGCTTAGATTTTGGATTTATGATTTAAATAATTAAAATCATTATCGGGTTTGGGATTAAATATAATATTCTTTTTATTATAATTTATTGTTTAAATGATTAAACAATTGACTAGAATGGGATTAAGGTTAAAAGAGTTTCTTTTTAAAATAAATGGTATTGGTTTAGGAATGATTATTATTTTAATAATTATTTAATAGGTATGAAAATTTAATAAACCTATTAATGGATATGATTAGTATAGTATATATAATTATATATAGACATATATATTGTGCTTTATTAAAGTTAAAACTTTATTAGGTTTGGTTTTGATCAGAGATGATCTGTTTATTGGTTTTCAGAGGCCTGGTAGAGTGAACTTGCTCGTAGGGTTTAACCCACGATTTTATTTTTCAGGTTATTAGAAGTTCAAGTCTCAAGGTTGAGGATCCGCAACTGGAAGACTTATCTATTCTTTCTATTTTATTTCAAAGTAGGATATTATTGTTTCAGTTATTATTAATGAATTTATGGATAGTGGATTTTGGTTAAGGGGTCCTTGAGATTATAGGATTTCCGAGTTGTAACCATTGACGAGTTATTAATGAAAATTTTTATAGACTAGTTTTTCTTCAGCATATTGTTTATTCTTTTATTTCATTTTGTATTTTGTGCTTGTTTAAATACTTTAATCGTTTTGATATCCCTTAATTTTGTACGCGGATTTGATCAACTCGTGTTCCGAAATTACGGGGTATCACACCCTCTCCCATTTTCATTCTCTCACAATAAACTCCTCCATCAATCTTCTTCTTTTCTAGTAGCATTTTTCTGTCCTAAAAATAAAACCCCAAATCTAGCTTAACTCCTTCGGTAGCCCCCCATACATCAATGGATGGTTTTGATAGTGATTGTTTAGTGGAGATAGGGTGTGAAGCAATATGATGTAGAGAGAGCCAAGATTTGCATCAAGCAATTTTCACAACCTAACACACCAAGCATCAGAGCAAACAAGACATTCCTTGACATTTAGTTTTTTCATAGAATAATGCTTGGTTTGTAACTATGAAAACAGTTTTCTGAGAACAAAAAACTGAAACAAAAAATAGTATAAAAAACTATGCTTGGTTCAATTTTCAGAAAACTCATTTATAAAAACGTCTATTTTCAGAGAACTATAAAAGATTGTTCTCTGATAACAATTTTCTGTTTTCTGAATTCTTGAGAACTGTTTTCAGAGTTACAAACCAAGCAAGCCCTTAAAATTTACGACTACTCTCTTAATGCAGCCTCTTGTGTATCTTCAATTCTATTTATATAGTTGAATCAGTTGCAATATAAGTTCCTTAGAGAGATTATATGGATATTTAAACTGTAGTGGATTAATGAGAACTTAAACAGTAAACAAGACCCTTTCAAGAAAGATTATGTGAATAAATTTTGAGACTAACCTAGAATATCTAGAGAAAGAACTTTATGGAAATGCACTATCAATGAAATCAATAGAGCTTATAACATGGAGAAGGCAATCCCTCTATACCAAACACTGTTAACTTTCCCTCCAATTTCTTTCTTTCCTTGTCCTCCCATTTCTCTCCAATCAAATCAATCCTTAAGTTTTTAAATTAATGCAATATGCTAAAAGATGGAACCCTAAAACACCCTATCAGGTAGATTAGAACAAATAAATTAAGCAAAAAGGAAAAAACAGAACGGATGAAAGGATCAAATTACCTTCAGCAATAGTTCTAACACCTTCTTCCATGGCTTTCTTAGAAGCAAAAACCCTAGAGACCAGGCCCAACTCCTTCGCCTCCAATCCCGAAAACCTCCGTCCCGTCAAGGCTAACTCCATTGCATTACCGTAACCAACGATGCCTGGCAACCTCTGAAGCGTTCCGAGATCGGCCGTGATGGCCAAATCAACCTCCTTCACAATGAAGAAAGCTTCCTCCGTACAATACCTAATATCACAGGCGGTGATGATGTCAACACCGCCGCCAATACAACCGCCGTGGATACCGGCGATCACTGGTTTCCGGCACCGCTCAATGGCCGTGACTGCCTCCTGAAAGCCCTTGATCTCCCGTCGGAGGCGTTCGCCGGTGCGTCCGCGGTCACTCGGCTGGACAGCCCCGGTGATTGTGTTTAGGGTTTTGAGGTCGAGACCGGAGCAGAAGTGATCGCCGTTACCTGAGAGGATTACGACGCCGACGTTAGGGTTTTGGTCAAGAGAGGATAAAGCCTTGGGGAATTCAGTGAAGAAGTCGCGAGACAGAGCGTTTCGAAGTGACGGTCGATTAAGGTATAGATAGAAAACAGGTGAGTTTGGGGTTTTCTGAACAATTTGGAGAGTGGTGTAATTTTCCATTGTTGTCGTCCACAAATTCCGACAGAGAAAATGAAGAAAATTTGAGGAGCTAGATAAAATTTGAAAGGGTAGGACACACACTCTACGACGTTGTGTTTGTGTAAATGCATAATTTTTCACCGAGTAAATTTTTACTTTTACTCAATTACCATCTACATGTGTTATGTTAAAACGTCAATATTACAAATAGAGATTTTTTACTCATTTCATCATCACATCAACCCCCACCCCCACAAGCAACTCTTTCTCCTCCTTGTGATTTGGCAGGCATACGACTGCAGGTGTCCGGATTTTTATTTTTAATCATGATGTTGTACACTCTTTAAAAAAAATTATTTATTTGATTTAAGAACACATTTTTGTGAAACACATTCCGTTTGCTATAAAACAGAGAATTTTAGAGTTACAATAATCTGCTTTAAATATCAGATGTTGCGCAAGTATAGGATTCCCAGAAAGGAGGGTGATGAGAGCATTAATAATATAATTCATCAATCACTTTATAACATATTGCTGAAAAAGATTACAGACACCATAAAACGTTTAAGAGTAGAAACAACCTACAAATTCTAGCAGAGGTATAACATGAGACGTGTTTGCTCACAAAATTTTTAAATACGTCCTAATCTGATTCTCAATTTACACTCTTATTCCTCTCCTTTGAGGAAAAGAAAAACAAAAGTTGCAATAAAAAGAGAGGAATATTGAGCCCAGTTTCCTTCCCATGATCTCCAAACACTCGGCAAGTTGTTTAAACACGCTCATGGAAGGCTCAACTTTCAATGTCTCTCAACTCCTCTGGTCTGAAAGCAGAAAAGCAGCAAGGTGGAAGATGGAGCTAAGTGTTTTATGTTCGAGTATTACCCGTTAGTGCCATCAAAGCTGCCTTGAGCACTTTGTCTTCTTTTCTCTCGCCAATTCTCTCCCCACAATTTTGCAGCTGCAACAGCTCGTTCCCTTTCCGTATTCTTTGCATTTTCTCTTGGAGAGTCATCCTTCTCAGGTCCTTCAAGGTCCCATTTGCGTCCGGATTCTTCCCCCTCTTCGTTCTTTGATATTCTTCCATTTCTCTCATCTTTGCTTCTTTTATCATCCTTATCCCCGGAAAATCTGTTGCCATGCCCAAGGGACGCGTTAGGGTCATACGCCTGATTCGACAGATAAGAGAGGGCAGTGACCACATCCCCAATGAGGGGACGGGCAGCAGCCTGTTCTTGAATACACATGGATGCCACAGCTAGAGCCTGGTAGAGACCTCGCATTGGAAAATTACCCCGGAGCAGTGGATCTGCCAACTTTGCTAATCTCTTGCGGTCATTGAACAAAGGACGCGCCTGCAAATTCATACAGACATTACCAACAGCCAATTATTACACAGGTAACATTGCCTACACTGGCAGTGTCAACCATACTGGAAAATTCAACATCAATAACAACCAAGCATTTTTCCCAATTACTTGGGGTCGGCTTAAATGAATCCTATTTTTCCATTCAGCTCTATTTAAGGCCATAACCTCAGTCATCCACCATACTGGAAAATAAGGAAATTAAACTACAAGATGATAAAGTGGATTACCCATATGACAAGGTTCTGTTCTGCTTGGGGTCGCTTGTTGTCAATGGCTTTACGTCCAGTAATAAGCTCTAAGAAGACCACCCCAAAACTGTAGACGTCAGACTTCACTGTCAACTGCCCGGTCATGGCATATTCAGGAGCACAATAACCGTAAGTGCCCATGACCCTGGTTGATACATGTGACTTGTCACCCGTAGGACCAAGCTTTGCTAGCCCGAAGTCAGAAAGCTTTGGGTGAAATCCTTCGTCCAATAATATGTTAGATGACTTGAAGTCCCTATAAATAACTGGAGGGTTTGCTTTGTCATGGAGGTATTCCAAACCTTTGGCTGCACCCGCTGCTATCCTCATTCTTGTATTCCAATCTAATGGTTCTTTATCAAGGGGAATATCTGCGTAAAAAGCATTTTAAATATTAATGAAATAAATACTAATAGTTGGTTACATGATTTAAGAGATCCAAATACCAAAAATTATAAAACTTTCTCCAATTATTTTTATATATGATTAAGTTCTTAATATGGCTATCACACATAGAAAAGGAATAAATGAGAAGGTTCACCCTTTTCACTATAGTATAAGATCCTAACACATTCTCATTAGCTCAGCCTACATCCTTTTTGGTCAGCCACAATAGTTTCATCACTTCTATCTAATACGAAGTCACCTCTTCTCCTTGACACTATCTTGCTCAAACCATCTCACAGGTCCTTGCTTTTTTCTCTCTCTTTTTGATCGCTAACTCAACATTGCAAAGCATCATTCAGAAGGATGGAAAGCCTACACAAACCCACTCCACCAGGTCCAATTTAAGGTTCAATGGATCCTTCCTAATCTTCCCCCAAATGAAGCTCATTAGTTACTGTTGTCCAATCACATGCTTCTTTGTCATTCATAGCTGGTTCAGTTGTCGACTTGTGTTCCTACAACAATTAAATTAGTCTCCATTTCTCAATATCAAGCAGTGAATGCAATAGTTTAACATAACTGAGTGTTGTTGCAGTTTCCAAAATGACAACATGCACATTATGTGAAGCACAAATCATCAACATCATCCTGGCTTGTATCCCATACGAAGGAGTTCGGATTTATGTGAAGCACAAATAAAAACAAGAACGATAATGTGATCAGACAAAGGGAATCACATGCTTCTTTGTCATTCATAGCTGGTTCAGTTGTTGACTTATGTTCCTACAACAATTAAATTAGTCCCCATTTCTCAATATCAAGCACTGAATGCAATAGTTTAACATAACTGAGTGTTGTTGCAGTCTCCAAAATGACAACATGCACATTATGCGAAGCACAAATCATCAACATCATCCTGGATTGTATCCCATACGAAGGAGTTCGGATTTATGTGAAGCACAAATAAAAACAAGAACGATAATGTGATCAGACAAAGGAAATCACATGCAATAGAAGGTTACCATGTAGATGATCTTCTAACGATCCCAAGGGCATGAATTCATAGACAAGAAGCCTCTGGTCCCCATCAGCACAATACCCAATCAAATTCACTAGGTTAGGATGATGCAGGAGGCTGAGCATGAGAACTTCCACCAGAAATTCCCTGTTACCCTGAAGCCCATTCCTGTCCAATTGTTTAACAGCAATGACCTATTTAAGACAAACATCATCATCAGAACAAATGCAAAGTCAAGAGAGCAAAAAAATTTAAATAATAAAAGCATGGTCATTACTTGCTGAACAGAATTAAATGTAGCCAATCCTACAATTTATACGAATATATGAGTTTGGTTACAAATATGAAATGATGTAGAATTTGAGATCATCACTATTCTTGTAGTTGGTTGGACCAATTTAAAACCTAAAATGGAATTAATTTCAAATTGAATTCTCCAAAATATCCCTCTTGATGACAAATAAATTAAAATAAGAAAATAACATTCTTCTATAAAGCGGCGGTGGTGTAGGTGGCGGCGGTGGAGGTAGCGATGGTGGAAGGTGGTAGCGGTGGTTGAAGGTGGTCGTGGAAGGCGGTGACAGTGGTGTACGTGGTGGTGGAAGGCAACGGCGGTGGTGGAAGGCAACAGTGACAGTGGCGATGGTGGTGGAAGGCAGCGGCAGTGGTGTAGGTGGTGGTGGAAGGCGACAGTGACAATGGCGGTGGTGGTTGTTGTGGTGGAAGACAGTGGAGATGGTGGTGGTGGAAGGCGTTGGTGGCGACAGCAGTGTGGTGGTGGAGGCGGCGATGTGGTGGTGGAGGTGGCGATGCTGTGGTGGTAACGGTGGTGGCAATGTGGTGGTGAAAATGGCGGCGGCGATGGTAGCAGTTTTTGGACTTTGAACGTGAGGGATTTTTGGGAATGTGAAAAAATATATATATATATATATATATAACTTGCGAATGGAATGGTCATTCCATAGGTTGAGATGTGGAATGAATTTCTTTCTTTTCCACCTAGAATGATCATTCACACTTTTCCTACCAAACAAAAGAATGGATGCAATGGGCATTCCATTCTTGTATGCCAAATAGGGGTGCACAAAAGAATCGGAACCGTGGAACCGGAACCGGAACCGTGAGAACCGGAACCGTTTTTTCCTGTTCTCACGGTTCCGGTTCCGGTTCCAGTTCCAGACCGTGGGAACCGTCAGGAACCGTATATATATATATATATATATATATTTAATTATATGTATACCACAATTGTGTCTACAAATATTTGTAACTATGTGTTGACAGATGACTTAGATTAGTCAACAAGAATCATTACACAGCATGTGGTGGTGGTCCACAAAAACTCAAATCTCAAGTCTCTTATCTAAATTCTAAACTTAGACCTAATCTCTCAAATCTCAATGCTCAAGTCTCATCTCAACTTTGTTCTGAAATTTGATCGGAGCCGCTGCCTCGCCTCGCCTCATCAGTGATCAGTCCTCGACTCCTCTCTGTTGGCCACTTCGCCTCGCCTCGCCTCACCTCGCCTCAACGCCGTCGCCTCCCCTGACCTCTCATCGCCCTCGCCTGAGTCGCCTCCTCTCATCTCCTCAATCCTCATCGCCCTTGCCTGCTCTCAAGTCTCATCTCAAGCTAATCAATTCATCATCACTGTTTATTAACTGCATCGTCTTCTCCCAGAGAGAATCCAAAGCACCGACTTCTGTCATCTCTCTTAATTTAATTTAATTTTTTACTCTCTTTGAAAAATCTGGTACAGGCTTAGAATTGGTTTACTAAGTAGTAGATGATGATGGTTGAAGAAGGAAGTGGTTGTCCGATCAACATCCAATTTCAGCCCAACAAGTCTTCTGTTTTTTTTTTTTTTTTTTTTTTTGAGATAAATTAGAATTAGTTAGAGTTTATTATACTGATATACTCAATTGATGTGAGTGCCGCATGTGATGGTGTTCAATTTCGTCACTGAGATGCCCTTATGTGTAGTTTCTCTACCGTGCATAGAGCAATATTGATTTATGTTATTGTATCTTTAGTTTACACACAAAAAAAATCAAACAATTAACAGTTCTCATGGAACCGAACCGTTTTCTACGGTTCGGTTCCATACTTATACGGTTTCAGTTCCGGTTCCATTTTCAAGGAATCGTTGTGAACGGCTCTAGTTCCGGTTCCGACCGGAACCGTGTGCACCCTTATGCCAAACACAACATAGGGGAAAATATGTACGGATGAACAGTGAATGCATAATTAATTAAAATGACACACACTATTGTTGCATGAAGCTAGACATAAACTCAAGTAAAAGAATCATCAATGTATAATGGAAATTTAATGGAAACATAGTTAATATAAATTGTTGGAATAAAGGGCAAGCCCAGTGCACAACACTCCCGCCATTGTAGGGTGTGGAGGGCTAGATATACATGGAAAAAAGTTATAAGAAATTATTTAAAATTAAATATAATAGGTGAGATGACATATAATAGAAAAGAAAGAAAAAAGTGAATTCATGTGGCCGACACTATTCATATGAGATTAAGGTAAGAATGATGATGATGTTGGTCTAAAGAGTTGGAGCAAAATGCAATCCCCATCCCTTCTTCAACTTTTCTACGTTTGCAAACGGGGATGGGAATCCCACACTCTTTTGTGATATTTGATGTTTGAATTAAAATTGAAATGATCGAAATGGAAGATCATGTAATGCAGGGTAAACTTAAAAACTGGAGCCGTAAGAGGAGTAATAGAAGGAAGGAGTGGTAGGGAAGTTTGATCGACAATGTGAGAGGGGAGCATAAAGCGAAATTTCAAAGCCAATGTAATTCAACAAATACAACATTGAGGCTTTCCACTGTCAATGACTTGAAGTCTTTCTCAGAAGTGTCTCAGTTGCCTTCTTCTATGAAAATTTGAAAAGCATGCTCTTAAAAAAACCCATTTGAAACAACTAAGTAGCAACTAATTAAGTAAAGTAAGAACGAGAGAATTTACCTGACCCGTGCTCTCAAGACGCCCTTTGTACACAGGTCCAAATCCTCCTTCCCCTAAGAAAGAGTCTGGCATGAAATTCTTTGTTGCAGCTGCAAGCTCACGAAATGAGAATATATGGGCAGCAATATTAATATTGGGTACATCCTTCAGACCTGATGCTTCCTTCATTAACCCCACATTGCTTCTTGGTCTTGGCCTCTCTCCTCCTGCAAATTCAATCAAAACACAGATCAAGCACGATTAAGTTGTTAAATCATGCCATCTCGATCAACAATGCCAAGATCAAAACTGTAAGGCCCTCAAAATCTAGCAACACAACTCCAAAATTTTGGGAGTTTGTGGCTTTGGTGCACACAAAACCACAAAAGAGGGAAACCCAATTGAACTATAATCCAAACCAGTTATGAACCTAAGGTAACCTTAATGTTTTCAATTTATTGTTTAAAAAAACAGATCTGAAGGATAAACATGTTTGAAAATGTTTATTTGGTTTATAAATTGGCCAAACACTTCTAAACAAACAGCCTTCAAATTCCAATTGTCAATAGGTTAGCTCCAGTCAGAGTGCAATACCATGTAAAATCTAAATCGCCAAATTGAGCTCATAAACCAATTCAGAACATATAATTATTCCTTCAGTCGTTTGAAAAAGTCAAACTATTAATTTCTTAAAACCATCAAATAGATAAAACTTATGCAACCAAATTAAATATGTTTTTAGATCTCATTTTATCACATAAAAAGCCAATTCTTTACAATCCTCGTCCAATTTTAATTTCAAATCGAGCAACAAAACATGATAAATCTGATAGATAAGATCAACCAAAATCATATACAAAACCCAAAACAACAGAACAATTAATAAAACAGAAATACCCAGATCAGATCAAACAACAATACATCTATATATATATATATATATATATATATATAGGTATAGGGAGAGAGACTTACCAGAAGAGAGTTTAGATATGTTGGAGGTGACTGTTGGAAGACCATCTTTGTGATCATCTCTCTGTTTGTCCGTATTAAACTTTTCATCCTCATCCCTTGAATCAAAACACGGAAAGCAACCCATTAACAATTAATTAATATCACCAAAGTAAAGCTTTCAAATCCCTCTTCTTGAAGAAGCCCTGTATATCCAGAATGATCAATGTCTCATAATCTTTCACCGATCATTTCTCTATCTCTCTATATATATATCCTTAGTTGATATATATCCGATGAGCATGAAGACGACCAAAAGATTAGATGTGAAAAAGACAAAAGCAAATCAACGGAATGGCAAGTAGAAAGAAAGAGCTAACAACAACAAAAATTAGGAAACGCGGTCTTGAATAGAGATGATTGGCAGTGTTGCTGTGACAGAGCAGTGGCCGGCTGTGTATTGCATCTGGTGGGGCTCTCTGTATATATATATATATATATGTTTATAGTGTGTGTATAATGTCTTTATCCATCCATGCCCCTACCATTGACCAAACTATAAATACCCATTTATCTTCTCTCTACTCTCTAATATTAAACCATCAATACCAATATATATTACATAAATTTACATAGATTGAGAGAATATAGTAACTGCAAAGAGTAATAAATCTGGTAAAATGGAAGAGATAGACGTGTCAAAAGGTGGAACAGGCAAACAGAACACAGAGATGCGAGTCCATGGTTGGTTTTTTTAAATGCCTTTTGTGTGGTGTGGTTGGATCTCTCCTGCACATTGATTGGTGCCCACTTTAAATCAATCATGCAATACAAAATATCAAGAGAGATTGATAACGTAATTAATGGATTAAGTTTTGAATTTTTAAATAGTTGTTATAAAATCAAAATTTTAAGGTTGATTATCTCGTTATAATTCAAACTCTTGTAAAGAGTTTATTTTTAGAGAGATTGTAAATTATCATAATTGTATATAAATGTGAGAAAAAAGTTAAATAAAATTTACGATCAATTTTTTTTTTTGTAAATTATCATAATTGTATATAACTGTGAGAAAAAAGTTAAATAAAATTTATGGTCAATTTTTTTTTAAATTGATAATCACACACACTTGTCTCTTCAGACTTTATTTGATCCCCTTGGTTCTTTTTCTTAACTTATATATCAGTATTAAAGTTTTAAACACACAAATAACATGTTATATAAAATTGGTAAAAATATTATATCATAACAAGATATAAACACTATTAAATGATTTAGTTCATTCTCAATCGGTTCATTTCTGCTTTGTGTTGTGTTAGATACGATGATTCTAAATTCGGTTCATTTATGTATTCAGTCAGTTCAAATTAAAATTAGGAAAAGATTTATGTGAACTTTAACATTTTTCTTTATTTATTTGGTAAGAAAGTGTTCATAATTAGATAAGAGGGCTTAACAAAATTACTAGAAAGCCCCTAAGTGTGTGATTTTGACTTTATGATCGGCAAAGTCCTAATTCTCTGTACTTCCTAAAATGTATGTCAATGTTTAGGCAACCTTTTGAAAACTTGGGTGGGGTGCTAGTTTGTTGAGGAAATATTGCTGCCCCCACGTGATGCAATAGCTGAAATCTCGTAATCATGAGTAAGGCAATTGAAGGAGTTTACAATTGAGATAATATTAATTTTAAAATAAAATGTTAAACTAATTTAACATGAATACATAAGTTAATTAGCATAAGCTGAAACGGTTTATTCATTTTGGTGAGCCAAAGTCGAACATTCTGAAGTTTGAATTTGTTGGGTGTTAAATTCTTATGGCTAGCTAATGAGTAAAATAACTACCACCATCATATATGTCTAATGTATATATACTTCAATCTAACAAATGTTATTGATGGCAATGGAATTTGACCCCCTTTTTTTACGCTGCTCAACGACTCTCAAATTACTCCAGCAACAAGAACACCAGTCATGCACTAAAATATAGTAATGGTATACGTACCCACAATGTATATTGTGGTTTAAACCATCCGAAAGTTAAGGTGACAATTCGTATTGATATGTCGTGTTTGTATCGACACAATTACGATACGAACACGATTACGATACGATTATTACTCGTGTAACACGACACAATAGGTGTAAATGAGCCAAGCCTTGATAAGACACGAAAAAACACGTTTAAATCATTTTTGACATAAATATGACATGTTTATTCTACACGTTTAGCTAAATGGATCATGATTTACACGAACATGACACGTTTATCTGACACGTTTAGTTAATCGGATTAATCGTGTCATAATCATATTTATAGGGTCATTTTTTACACGAACACAACACGTTTAGTTAGCTGGTCAATCCGTATCAATACAATTACAACACGAACATGATTAGTTCAAACCTTCTTATCTCTTATCGTGTCAAATATTGCCACCCCCTAATGTGACTTGTGTTCCCATTCTCTTCATATCAAATCAAGTGTCAATCCAATAGGATTTTCTTTGATGCTTGTTTCCGTGATTACAAATATGAGCCCATAGTCCTTGCATGTCTGTTTGAGATTGGAACTTATTTGTACTTTAATTCTCTTGAGAAGATTAGTGAAAAAAAACAAATTAAATTCTTTGATTCGGGATAGCTCAGCGGTAAAGACTCTCTTACCTTAAATCTTAACAGGTTTGAATCCCATTGCCGGTCACCCCGAAAATTTTCATTTATAGTAATTGTCTGGTTCATGTGGGACGGTAGATTGCTCGTGTCAAGTAGTAAATTATGCTTTTAAGAGGTCCAATGACACCTATCGTCAAATATTGTAAATATGTGGATGAAGAATACTACTTCAAAAACAAATAAATAAATAAGTATCAAGGACCTTATGATCCGGTAGTATTTCTCTACCTCCCAGAGTAGATTGTAAGCAAAGACGGACAGAGGGGTGGACAAAGGTGGGTTGTAGCCCACAAAAAAAAAAATAGTATATTTTTTTTCTATACTAATATTAGCCCAGCCCAAAAAATAATAATAATAATAGTATTAGCCCACCTTAGCCCCCTACCCAAGTATCAAAAGTGTTAAAATAGTAATGCGTAGCAGGATTGAAGATGAATTTCTTGTTGATTGTATGATCATCAACCTTGAACGAGAGCTTATTTGGAAAATTGACTTGAAATCTATTATTGACGAATTCGAGTCTTTAAAGACTCGTCGAGCACAGCTTAGATAGATATTTCGTAATATTTGAATTCAAATATTTATCAATATTATGTTATAATTTTTTATTTTTTTTTGCTTTAAGAAATTTTATTATTAAATTTATATTTTATATTAGCCCATCCAACGAGAAATTCTAGATCCACTCTTGATTCTAAGGGTTCGAGTCTCACCAAAGTGAGTGCATAAATGTCTTGTCAATAAACCAAATAAATAAATAATAAAAAAGTAGTAAAATTTCTAAAAATCTATTACTTTAGAAATTATTAGATGGTCTTACACCATTGACACTAGTATAGACTCTTTACCGAAAAAATGACACACAAAAAATTAATTTTTATTAAATTGATCCACCAAGTATCTACCGTTTATCAATTGACTGTGCTTATATACACAGTATATTTCCATACTCTTATATATATATATAGATATACACTTATATTTCCCATACTTATATGACGGTGCTTTATCTCATATTCCTCATTCATTGACCGGGTCATGTATACCGTTGGATAGAAAATAAATTAATCCTCCGTCTATCAAAAATAATTGCCCAAAGCCATGGAAGGTGCCATAGTGGGGCGTAGTCAGCGACTTTAATTTGGTTCATATTCATTCCAAGTCATAAAGCTGGTTTCGACTTTATCAAATTTTTCACACTTATAATATCTTTATTGTCCCCATCAACTATGAAATTAAAGATGTAATTATTCCAAGAATGAAAAGCATAGAAAAAATTTCATATTTACACTTGAAAACAATTTAGTCCTCAATGTTAGCAGTACATGACAGAGAAGAAACGCGCCACCGACAACTAGTTTTAGTCTATAGACCCTACACCAACATTATTTCAAACCCAAACTCCATGGTCAGGGACTTCAAAGCCCGGACCAATTAGTACTACTTTTGTCTTTTAGTAGTTTTAGGTCATTTTCAATTACATTTCTTTAATATATAACATGTTATAAACTTCTTGATTATCAATAATCATATGCTTAAATCACGAATCAAATTTTAACACATCTGGGATGGCAATGGAGTGGGTCCGGAGGATTCCAACCCCATTCCCACCTGATTTAGCATAACTCATTAAACAAAATGGATTAAGGGAGATGATATTTTTTCATCCCTATTTCGCAACTGTGTGAATTTTTAATTTTAATTTTAATTTTAGTTTCAAAATAATTTAACCAATTTAATAATCGTTTTAGAAGAGAGGGTGAAGTGCTGAGCAGATGAAAGGGGATATTTTTTCATTCAATTTTTTTTTATTTTTATACTTTTTAGAGCATGTATATAAGTTCTACAATACACGCACCATCAAGTTAGGAGGGCATTTTGAAAGCGAGGCTTCAAAGACTCACCCTTCGAATTCTTGCCAATACTACTATGCCTCTGTGAATGTTTTATCATTTCTTTGCTCCAGCTTCTTTGACAACATAAAATAGACTAAAAATCTAATATATATATGTATATATATATATATATATATATATTGATTCGTCTCATTAATTTGTGCACGCCATCTAGCCAAATGCGCAGTGAGATTTTATAAAAAAATTATGGTGGTAACATATTTTTAATACATTAAAGTCCAAGCCAACTGTTTAGAGGTTTGTCCCACCTGACCCGTTACACCAACCTCCTTGCTCTTTACCCCAATCCCTCTCAATGTAAGTTTGCCACCAGGACTTTTTATAGGACTGGAAGTTGTTCATGGGTCAAAGTACATATCCACCAACACGCTTGAGATGATGAGTTATTATTTTTTAAAAATTTTAAAAGAATTATATTATATTTTAAATATCTAAAATTAATAATTATTTATTTAACAATCACATTTATAATTAAAAGAACAAATATTTTTTTTCTTCAAAAAATTTACTCTATTTATTTAATTTATTAATCAAATAAGTATTCACATACACACTTTTGATCACATTTCGATTCAAAACTCCACATGTTATACCATCTGGGGGTAGAAGAGCTTCCCTAATTCACTCCAATTAAGTAGCATTGATAATTAATGTTTATGGATTCAAAATTGGCTTAAAAAGTCGTATTATTGTAAGTTTAATTTGGTTTTTAGATAATGACCTTGATCTAATTTGGTCAACTACTCTTAAATAGGAATCAAGTTTTTATATGGTGGGTGTGTTTCAACTTCCAAGATCTAGAGAAACTCTGTGCACAAAGTAATACAAAAAGACAAACAGACTTTTGATGGCATGCGTGAGCTTGACACGACACAAATGAGAAATTAAAATTAAAATACTGTAAATAAAAGAGTGGAAAGATAAGTCTAGTTAGTAGAAGTTTGTGGCGGGAATGAAGGTGGTGTTGGTGTTAGTTATGGGATGGAGATGGGATTCCTTCCCATTCCCGCCTGAGAACCCGCCGGTATTCGCCGCATCCGTAGTACTCCTCCGCCGCCCAACTACAACGTCAACTAGTGAACGCACGCCCGACCCTTTTCTCACTCACTTGGAAACATGTCACTGCTTTAGGTGGACATTCATTATATTAACGCCAACACAATATTACACACTATATAATTACATACTACATAATTATTTCTTCTTCTGCCAATATATATATATATATATATGTGTGTGTGTGTGTGTGTCTATATATATACATATTCACAAAGGGACTCCTGCACCAATTCTACTGCGTCACGTTACAAAAAGTACAAACTGGATTGATTATGTGAATGGGCCTTGATTCCCTGATCAGGTGCCCTTCTGCCACCTACAGTTATTTGAGTTTTATGAACCAAATGAAAGGGAAAAAAAAAAAAAGGAATGGAGAGGGAGAAACTTTAAAATTTACAATTTAAAAACGTTACATAGTGTAGTTGTATTCAGAAATGTTCTGTATATTATTGATGTAGTGGGGATATTTTTAAAAGTAAATTACACTGATTTTTTCTGGGATTTGAGTAAATTATATATAAGTAAATCGTTATTACTTTGTTCTCCATTGAGATTTGGCGTATCTGTTCGTGGCACCCCAGCGCACACCTTAAGCGCTTGGTGGACACCTTCGGAGCACTCCGTGGGCATCCTCAGAGCGCTCAAGGTGCATCCTGACGCGCGCGTCGAGCACTCGTAGCAGAGTAGGGAGAGCTCGGAACAGTCCAGAAATGGACTTTTCGCCCCTTTTTGCATATTAGTTATGATAATATACATTAATGTTAACAACATACGTGCATATACAAAAAAATTATATAAGTGGGATAACTTTGAATAACGATAATATATATGCGACACCCCTAGCGCGTTTTCTTTTCTTGCGAAGTAAATTTTATAAAATAATAATTTTGTTTTCCCTTAAAATGAGGTTATTACTGATTTTTTACATTCAAAGTTATCTTTCACAGTCAACTAACAAATTTAGGGAAGGTCCGAGCATAGTTAGTAAAATACAGTACGGAAAAAATACGGATACGAAAACGTACGAGTATAATTTGATATATTTTTTTTAAACGAAAATATGTTTTAAAAAAATGAAATCGTAAAAATACGAATACGGATGCCTACGTATATAATACGTTATATGCACTAGAAATTTGGGACAAAAAATTCGGCTATACATATCTTATTATTTTCTTATATATCATATATTTGTAAGGACAATAAATAATAGGTAACAAATAATAAAATAAATATATTACAATTAACACTGTCACAATAATCATAACAGAAATAAACTATCTAAATATAATTAATCAATAACCATAGGTCCAGAATATGATCAATTCATCACAAAATTAATGAAAAAAATTATAATTTAATTAATCAACTATGTTGCCTAAATTAAAAATAAAATGCAGATGCCTCTTAGGTACTTTTGAACAAATTTCAATATCTCTACCTTTTACCCCGGATAAATGTGATTTGACTATTGAAATACCTATATGATAATTAGAGTTTTGTTTAGCATGATCCCAAAATGCATCCCTTTTTTTTTTTTCCTTGATAGTTTATATATTTATAATAAATGCATAAGTATATAATGTGATATTTGTGAAAATATCTTTATATTCTATTAAAACATATAGTGAATGTGGTGATTTACAAACTTCCAAAATAATAATAATAATAATAATAAAGATTCTAACAAAATTTAAAAGATCTCAAAACAAAACAAAATATTTATAAATGTCTACGAACATCAATAAAAATCTACGATTCTTCAAAATTATAGTATTCCACAAGGTATATATATGTGTTTCATTACTTTGATTAAAGATCAAACATTGGATTGACAATAATAAGAGATAAAAATATATATATATATATAGAGTGATAGTAGAACAACTGAGTGCTCACAACCTTTCCCGAGATTGCACAACAAATATTATTATTTTGATGGTGTGAAAGAGAAGGGTTATACCAAACAAAAGATGGTAGTTTGTGTTAAGAATGTGTATTTGACAAAAATACATTATTAGAAGTGAACGAAAAAAAATAATAATAATAATTAGGTTATCCAAAAGTATAAACATGAATTAAATGGAGCAACTAAAATGAATAAACGCGTTACATACGGGATGATTAAAAAAAGGCGTATTTTACCGTATCTTTTAATTCTGATTGAAAATGGGCGTATTTTCTCAAAATTTGTACGTACGCGTTTAATTCGCGTATCATATGCGAATTTACTAACTAGGAATCCGAGTAATAAACGTTGAATGGTCCAAAATGTGTCTAATTAATCCAAATTTCAGAAAAGGTAAGTGAAATTTACCCTATTTTTAATTAGAAGGGAAAAGGTATAATGACCACTGTCTTTTATCTTCTCTAAGTAACTCTCGATCTAACCCATGGTTTAGTGTGCCAACTCAGAATGAGACTTCCCTTCTCATTGTCTCCGTTTGGATGAATAGAAGAGAAAAGAAAAGAAATGATAGCATTAGTTATGAGATAAAAGAAAATAAAATAAAGAGAAGAAAATGATAATAATAATCTATATTCATATTTGGATAGCTATGATTCTTAATTGTTTGGATAAAATAAAAGAGAGAAAAGACAAAAATGATAACAATCAAATTACTATTATACCCTTTTAATTAGATCAGACATGAGTGGAATAACCATTTCTTCTTTTTAATTGTTAAGGGTAATTTCGTAATTATAAAAATATTATTTAACCCATTATCATTCATTTCCCTCCATATTTTCTCATTTTTATAAGGATAACATTTGAGGGATAAGGAGGGATAGGCCTATCCCTCCAAACTATCCTCCCTATCATTTCATTTCTCTGTACTAAAGCTATCTAAATATACTACTACTTCTCTTTTCTTTTCTTTTTCTATCCTTCTAAATTATCCCATCCAAACGAAACCGAACTTGTTTAAAATAAATAAATTTGTAAAAAAAGCACATTTGTGCTTTATGTTTGATCTAACAAAGACTAGAATGAGACATCCCCTATTCTGTGAAGCTGAACTGTCCTTAATTAAATCCCACCGTGATAACATGTTTGGTCAAAGGAATGATCGGATACGCTCTCTCTGTGTGACGCATTAGTGAAAAGCAAACAAAAAGATTGAACCAAAATCCCAATTTTCCATGCACGCCTTTCTACTATTGTCCGATTGATACCACTCATCACTTACTAGACAATACACATTCACACTTGCTCAATCTTTCGTCATTATAATAAATCTTCTAAATTAATCAAACCATCTTTGTTGACCAACAACATTCCTAGTTGCTAGTTAAACAATGGTAATCTTCTGGTCGTCAAAGGCATGCAACATGCGCGTCAGAGACAGCATGTCATGTACTAGTAAAAAATACTTTGGAACTCACCCGACAAGAAGCCCCAGACAGCCGTCTCTATATGTACAGTGTACACACTAAACACATATACTATACCTATATATAGCCATATATATATATATATATATATAACCTTATCAGACTTGCCTGCAAAAAGCCTGTTCTCATGTCTCTAAGGTCTCGTCCTCAAAAACCCAGCAATATATATCTATGTTCTACACTTCTTTTTGCTTTTGATTGAATTACTCTCTCTCTCTCTCTCTGATCCAGATGATATATAGCCACCCTCCATAGCTGACATGTTTGCCTCAATATATCACTCCCATTGCTCACTTTTGAGTTATGAAATAGAATATTTGTGTTTTGTCCACAACATGTGCGGACAATTTTCAATCCTTTTAAAGCAAATACTACGTAGACCCTCTAAACGCACGCCTTGCGACAACTACAGACAACACTCCCTCCTATTTTCCAAAACACCCCTCCATCTCACTCGATCCCCTATATAAACCCCGCAAACGTATCCCACCCTTTTCATCAATCATCTTTTATTACAACCACTTGATTCATTTTCTAACTACTCAATTTGCTTGATCATCAACATCACAATTACTAATATGCAATACCAGGCTGAGCATTACCAGGCCGAGACTCACTGGAGTTCTAATTACTACCCATTGGAGCGAGTGGTAAGGTTGGCCTCCGAGAGTGCAGTGGTCATCTTCAGCATTAGTACATGTTGTATGTGCCACGCAGTGAAGAGGCTTTTCTGTGGCATGGGTGTCAACCCCACCGTGTACGAGCTCGACCAGGACCCCAGAGGGAAGGAGATTGAGTGGGCTCTCATGGCCCTCCTCGGCAACTCACGCCCCGCCGTGCCTGTCGTCTTCATCGGAGGGAAGCTTGTTGGGGCCATGGATAGGGTCATGGCGTCCCATATCAGTGGCACTTTGGTCCCCCTTCTTAAGGAAGCTGGGGCTCTCTGGCTCTAAACTTCATGCTCTGATGTATATCTATATATATACTATATATATAAATCTATAGTACTGGAAATTACATTTCGAAACTTTTATTATATACAAGAACTGAAAATCGAGAAGGCTGTTGCTAGGGAGGAGTAAGTTTGTTCATTGCTTTCTTCCTCCATTTTGGGAAACAGTAGTAATGTTGCTTTCTCTTAATTCCATCTCTCGCTCTCGTGTAATGGTTCATCTTCAATGGAGTAATATTGAAATTGATCCATGCTTTGTATTATAGAGATTAGTAAAATACACATCCAACCATATTACTGCTTAATATTGTTGGTCCAACTTCAACCCTCTCCATATCATCGATCAAAACTCAAAAATAAAGGGAAGAAAAAAATTGTATGAACAATTGGCATAGTAAACCTTCATTTTCTTCATATTTTTTATTCCAGCTTCTTCACAAAGAGAGCACCAACCCTTCTTGGGTATTAGATTACTTGAACCAAATACAAAAATTGAACAGATGACTATAATCCTGTACAAAAGACTCTGATCCACTTGTAATCAAATGTTTCCACGTTCAATTTTGCAATTTGTTACTCTCCGGCTTTCGAGCTGCTTCAACTTGTCTCTCAAGTCTTGGATAGTCTCAGAAGCAATCTAATGATAAAAGGTGGTCTTTCTCAGAAGGGGCAGAAAGAAGTACTACTTGTTTAAGAACACAAGAAATAAGAATTTTGCTAACCTTTAGCCTGTTCCTCAAGGCCTCCTCCTCTGAGTCTCGCCGGTTTCTTTCCTCTGCGAAGTTGTTAATGATAGCATCTTGCTCTATGTTCAACTCCTCTATTGTGCGTTCGGACTCCTTGATCTGATCATACAGCATAATGTTACTTGCAATAACCCAATCAGAAAACCAATTTTTGCATAACATCATAAAAAATCTTCAAGCACTTTCATGAAGTTTTAGTTTTTTCTCTCATTTTTTAGCTGTTGATATCTTCTCTCTCCATGCATGCAAGTTTAATTTTTTTTTCTTGTTCAAAAATTCTAATTAAACGTGGTATAATCTCAGAGAACTGTTTTCCTATCTCTGAGCCACATTCAAGTGTTTAAGATTCTCTAGCACCTATATAGAACATTCAAGAAATTTTGAATCTCAAGTGCAAAGTTGAAAAGAGGATACACAACTAGCTTGGCACTTACTTTGGCTTCCAGTAATTCGTTCTTATCTCTTGCATCCCGTAGATCATGCAACAGGTCAACCACTATTAATTCATCATTTTTCTCCAATCTACAAGCAAGAAAAGACATGTTTCACAGTTCAGAAGAAGCACAAGCTAGCAAACATCACATTGCACTGAGATTTTTAGGAAAATTGTAACCTTTCCCTTAATTCACGATTTTCTTCTTTCAACTTGACTAAACTCTCTACATTGGAATTATCAGATGCATGTCCATATCCATTGATGTCAGCTCCCTTTACATTGGAATTATCAGATGCACGTCCATATCCATTCATGTCAGCTCCCTATTTGTCAAAGGAAAAAGACGACAGTGTATAGAAATTTAAACCAGGAAAAATGAATGAGAAGTGTCAGTATTGCAAAAACTGTAATCCAAATAAATCACCAACACCATTTTGTAAAGGTAACGCTCATTTCAGAATACTAGTAATTGCAGCTACTTTGAACATGTGAACATGTGTGTGTGTGAGAGAGTAATTTCTTTGTTTGGATAAGTATCATATTTTCTTACTTTAATACTGATTAAAGGTGTATAAGTAAAAAATGTTTATGTGACTTTGAGGTAGTATTCTACAAAAATAAAGGGCTAGCCCAATCCGTGAGGCTTCAGCCACTGCAGCATGTTACCTCCACGTGTATAGGCTGTTTCCCGTTTTGAATCTGTGACCTTCAGGTCACATTGCAGCAACCTACTGTTGCGCCAAGGACCTGCCCTCCAGTATTCTATAAGGAGGAATCGAAACTACAAACCACACAAGTGGATCAATTCAAGTTGTAAAACAAAACTGCAGATGATACTTTACCTTAAAAAATGAATGGGCAACAATGTGATCAGTTCCTCCATTTGGTGCACAATCTTGCTTGCCTTCCTCACAAGCTGGTGATGCATTGTAATGACTCCTAACTGGTGTGACATGATAGGCCAATCTCGTCTCGTCTTCACTTGTAATCTTTGCATGCGATGTCCTTCCATTTTTTTTGGCAGATTTTGCTTTTGATCCACCATCACTGTATACATGCCCGGTCAAATTTAAACATGAATGGGATTTATCATTATCAGAAGGTGTAGTTTCTCTACATGGTGAAACAGAGTCCTTTGAGTGTCGTCGCAGGGCATAACCAACTTTATGGGATTTATCCTTATCAGAAGGTGTAGTTTCTTTACATGGTGAAACAGAGTCCTTTGAGTGTCGTCGCAGGGAAAAATCACCTTTATGGGATTTATCATTATTAGAAGGTGTAATTTCTCTACATGGTGAAACAGAGTCCTTTGAGTGTCGTCGCGGGGCATAACCAATTTTTTGGCAGTTCGAAGACCTAACAGAAAATTTTCATTAAAAAAAAAACTTTAATGAAAGCAGAGAATATCATAAAGCAAAAAGATAAAAAGAACAAACCAATAACTTTTCTGCATTACAACTAATCGTGCCTCAAGTCTCGAAAGCACTATTGTGCGCTCAAACCCCTGTTTATCATGAGCTGGTTCAACAAAATTAGCTTCCAATACCCCTGTTACACAAAGAAAGCAGAAGGGAAGTGAAACTGGCTAACAATTCACACAAGTGATGTTCAAATGCAGAAAACAATATAGATTACTCGTTGCAGTTCAGGAAACAATACCTATAACCCCACGACCATCACTTCCAGCAGCATTCCAGACCCTCCAAAATGGCTGACAAAACAAAATTTCAGGTAAACAAATACATCAAGTAAAATTCACAATTATTACAAGCACACCGCTCAGCAATTATGCGAAAAAATCATAATGACATGCCATTTCTCTTACCATTCCATGAATAAGCAATTAAAAAAACTAATAATAACTTGCTCATCTTCTTTAAAGAAGTGTATTTTAACTAGTTCAAATTATCAGTACTCATTTTCCCGAAAATACATGGTATAGATCAGTACTCAACTAATACTAGCCAATTAGATAGAGAACAGCAATTTGTATATATATATTCATACACATGCCACAGTAACTGCTAGTTATTAAATAAAAAGGGTCATTACACAGTGCACGATAATCTATGGTGCTGGGAGGGTGGACTGGATACTTAAACTTGGGCATTATTTGCACAAACCAGCTACTTTCAAGATTCAAATAATGGCCTTGCTGGTTATTAATAACTATAACTAATAATGTCATCAGAGAATGTGACAGCACAAGGGCAGAAAAGCTTGGAAACATGAGGGTCCTGCGGATCGGTAAGCCACATAATAAGCTCTACAAGTTACTGTTTTTCGTCAAACCAATTTAAATAAAAATTACCAAATCAGAAAGATCACAGTAGATGGGTTTAACATGTACCTTCTCCCTCTCTATATATGTGTGCGTATGTGTGTATAGGTTTGATCTGTGTTATTTCTATGTAACTTGCCTTTTTAGAATAGACATTATGTTTTTGTCACTGGACAACTTTATTATTATTATTTAAATAATGTCCTCATCAAATAGGCAACAAAAGCATACATAATTTAGGACCAGGTGAGGGACCAAACCAAATTCAGTTTACCATAGAAATACCCCCTCCCCACCCCCAACTCCTAGCATGGCCGTACAATCCATATGCCTATAGTGATGAGATGGACAAGGTTACCCTGTAAATTACCAGCAGATTGCTATCTCTAAGACAATAATGATAATTATAGAGTAAAATATAAGCGCTATATAGACTACACTACACTAAATTAGAATACCCCATCCCCATCCCATCCCCATCCCCTCCCCCTCCCCCTCCCCCTCTCCCTCCCCCTCCCCCTCCACACCCCCACCCCCAACTCCTAGTATGGCTGTACAATCCATATGCCTATAGTGATGAGATGGACAAATTACCCTGTAAATGACCAGCAGATTGCCATCTCTGACAATTGTGATGCTTAAATAGAGTAAAATATAAGCGCTATTTAGACACTACACTGAATTAGCACTTCAAGCAAGCAGCCTCATTTGGAAACCATAATATATAGCATCCTCAAACAATAAAAATGATAAATACAATGTAAAAACTCAGAGAATAACCCAACAACAATAGTTCTCATTCTTTACAAGCAGGAAGCAACAACCACCTATGCAGAAACAGTGAACTCCTTATCTAATAACTAATGAAAAGCGCACAGCCACAACATGAAATTTAAACTACTCTTCATTTGTATTCAGTCATAATACTTGAGAAATGCATGAAAAACTAACCTTGATAAGACGATTCTTATGATAAACATTAAACCCTTGAATATCGATATGATGCTTTGCATCTTTTACAAATCCAATAGTCACAACTGCAACCATCTGTTACAACAGTAGAACAGGACCAGGTAAATATAGTTTTGGAAAGCAGACAGTTGTGCTAAATCAAGCTTAATTATTAAAGCATTACATTTGGATCTTTTGGCACTCCATTAGTGGTAGGAATTGGTTTATATGTAACCTCTTGAGCTAACATCATGTCATTAATTAAATTATGATGATCAATATCTTTTCCACGCAAAATAATTCGGAAACCAGGTGGGAATCTCAGATACAGAATTGATGCATAACTCTGAAAAGAAAGACAGGAGAACACAGTTAGAAAAATATTAGAGGAATCAAATATCATATGTTGATTTATTAAAAAAAACAAATTATACAGTTATCCCCAAGAATCTCATCACATCTGCTGCTGATAACAACCATTGATAAGCTCTTTTGTGAGCATAAGCACAAACTTGATTGTGCCTGCAATTCTGCATGTGTTATTGTGTCAGGGTCTACAAATATCTATAGATCCCCAGAATGATTCATTTTTCTGATTATCCATATATATATACGAAGTTGTACGGAAACAAAAGCAGCCATCAATGTCCAGTTATCCAGGCAATGCAACAAGGCATTCCCAGATCTTTTATAACATTGACTGACCAGCAACAAGATCTCATCAATGCTTCCTACAATGAACATTTATATGACTTGGTAATGCACACCCCAACATTTTATCTTCTGAACCACTACTAACCTATTGATCTCTGAGACAGAGTGTGAGATAAGAAGTTAATATTTCAATGGAAACTTAATTTTAATGTATTGAATCATTATAAAGTCCAGTTGTTCTATCAATGATGTATTTAATGGCAGTAGATATAAAATAAATAAAGATATTTACAATTAAAAAAAAAAAATAACCTCTCAAAAAAATGAGTTGTACAGAACCTAATTCACATTTCGAGAGGATTTATATTCTCTCAAACATGGGCTCAAAGTGAATCCATCTGGCTAAAGTAGCACCTTATGAATATAAAAGCGTTTCAAAAATACAATTTAATGCAGTATTTGGATAAACATAACGTGAAATTAATTTTGGAATGCTATTAATAGAATGAAATTTTCAATTGATGGGAATGACAAGGAAAAAAAGAGGAGGAAAAGAATATACAATCATGGTTGAACAAAGAAATTCACACCACTAGATTTAAAGAAAAAAAAAAAAAATGATTGGGACTTCTTATAAATCACGGTTAAGAAGAGAAAACAATATACCCTTAAAGAATGCCGATAAGTTAAATAGTGTCTAGAGTTGGGATAACTTTTGGACATCTCTATCTTCTTCTCATCTCGACTGACTCCTCTAAGTTGAATGTCCTGTAAACAGATTTAGAAAATACAGCCAATCTTATAAGATTAAAAAAAAAAAAAAAGGGGCCCTCATTAAGGTTGTGTTTAATCTGAGAAAAATAAAATAAAAATCAGAGGATTAAAATTAAGGGCATCAAAAGCATACATGTTTATCGTTTTCAAAATCAAGTTCGAGACTTCCTTCGTCATCCTCCCAAAGATTGTATATTACGATACGTGTACCTCGATCTTTCAATGAATCAAACTACAGAGTGAAACAGTAGTAAAATTAGTAGAAATAGCAAAAGCGGACTACACATAGTTTAACTGTGATCCGCATGGTTGGTGTTTATAAAACAATAACCTAATACGTGCAACTAAAATTATCAGTATAGGGAAAAAAAATCAATGAAAATGCTACAGGAATAGCACAAGAAATCATAATACAGTTAATAGAAAGAAATACTGTAAAAATTGCAATGACAAGCTTGAAAGCTTGCAGAAGTACTCACAAAAAAATACCCTTATTTCGATAATTATATCATGCAACCAATTTTCAAGCAACTTCTGGCAACAGTTTTCTTGTTCAACATATATCCACCCAAATCTCTGAGTTATCAGAGGGCACAAGGATTCAACGTCAAAATGTTGAAAACACTAGCACTAGAATAAAATTATCCTACTACTTTAAGGCCCTTAAAGAAATATTCATATATGGTTTGTTAAATTCTCTGATTTCAACAGGCTAATCTTACCTAAACTTCAGTTAGTAAAGAAAGTCAAGAGACAAATAGTATGCTTACTTTTTTAAGGCTCGTCTTATCCTAAGTTTGAAAAGAGACAAACAGTATGTTTTCTGTTTAACTTAATAAACGCGGAAGGGAGTCAATAATACTGTCCATTACATCAAAGAATTAGCAAAAGCATCCATTTTCATGGTTGCCTGTCTCTACTCTCCCCTCCCAGCACCTGCATATGCAGAAGCAGCAGTAGGTGAAAGCCATTTTTCATCTATTTCGTCATGCTACTTTCGGTTTAGTGTTGTGGTGATAAAATTCGTGGTTTTCTCAATAAGCCAAGGTTCACAATACATTAAATCTCAACAACCATAAGTTTGTTTTCTTTTCTCTTGAATCCAGTATAAAAGCAATAATGCACCATTATTGGTTCCAACATATTTAATTATTTGTTCTGAAAGAAAATCATTAACAATACAAAAACAAAACTTACCTGCTGAAGAAGATCTTCTTCACTTGCAAAAGGTGACCACTGGACAATAGTTTTTAAATTTCTATTCCAGTCCTCGGGAGAAGATCGAATCGACATGTTCCAAGCTCGTCCTCTTTTCTCATAATCAATCTAATCATGCCAGACGAAAAAAAAAAAAAAAAAAGCCCGTCATTAAGAGAATTATCTGATACTTAGATAACCATAAATAAACACAAACACATATACGCACACATTTATAAGCTTTTAGCCATAACATTAGAAATAAAATTAACTTTAACACTACTAATTTCCATGCCTATCATTGTCATATATTTTCTTCTTCGATAACGTTCATTACTTAAGCTTTTGTGTTTGTGCAATCCTTTAAAACACAAGGAACTCATTAAGAAATCATCTTTGGGCACTTATGACAAAAATAAGATGTTTTCCTATACTCTAGTGTCAAAACTTGTTAGGAAACACCCAACAAAATATATATGCACAAAATAAGGCTAATTCACTTAGTTAGAAGTGTCCAATGTCCATGGAACACTATTCCCTTTTCTTATCACACTCACATGACCATGTCCATGATCTACCCAACGATATCCTAATGAAGATGAGAAGTCACAAAAAATAATAATATCAACATGTGTTCTGCATAGATAGTCCTATGTGAAGTTAATGAAACACTTTTTGGGGAAAATGCAAGCATGCACACATACAAGAAAGAATTAGGATGTTCTTACCATGGGAACCACAATATCTTCCTTTCCAGTACCCCTTAGAAATGAGTAGGACAGCATTCCAATACTTTGTGTCGGACTAAGGAAAAAGAAAAGATGATTCGATTAGTTTTTATGTATAGAATAGACATAAATCAACTGGACAAAAAGTCCATGACAAAAATAATAAAGTATCCATCCTGTCTATCAAGCATATATGCCATCATATCACAAGCAATTATGTTGCTTGACTATATTTATTCTTTGGAACTTGGAAGCTGATAACCAGTCCAAATACTAATAGGAAATAAACATGATGGAAACCAATAATAGTTGTGGACATGAGACAACAAAACACCTACCTTCTTATCTCATTCCCATGACATCGTGAGAAAACAATAACGTCTGCCCCAAGCCTCATAGTACTTGTCTTAAAACCATTTCCATCTGGGAAAAAATAAACAATAATAGTAGTGAAGAAAACTTATAATAACATCCAATCAATGATATCATTAAATTGTGATTTTTCCTTCTTTTTTTTTTTTTGTCCTTTCAGCAAGGGAAAGAGCAGCTCACATTGACCAATAGTGTTTGCCAATTTGCTTTTTGCAGAATATCCAAGAGACATACAGTGACGCATTTTGTCAGGAGTCATTCCTCCACCATTATCTGCGATAAAAAATAATAATAATAATAAATAAAACGAGTCCCCTGAGCAAGAATACTAATACAACTTCTCATGCAATGAACTGAAGAATCAGTAAAGTTTTGAAAATATATGAAATTTTCACAATATTGCACCAGTTCCCATGATGCACTCTTGCTAATTAACCTTGACAAATTCTCAAAACACCTTATTTCCCACATGCACCAACATCACAAAATAAAGTAACTGAAACATATAAAATGTCAAAACAACTCAGACATAAAAGTTTGAACTAAACAGAGAATAGGTGATGTGTCATACAACAAATATAATGCCTTGAGAAACAATGACACAGCGTAAGGTCATTAGCCAGTGTGGTCCCCATTAATCAAGAGTACTAGGAGAGGCACACTTGGTATGGAAGAAACTTTTGCCATTATATGCACAACATAACTGCTCTCAAACTCAAACATGTATTCTTACACTTGTTAGTGCCACCAAACTAGCCTAACATGGCATGACACTAGCATGAGGAATAGGTCAGATGCATATTTTCCCCATGTCAAAACATATGGGAATGAAAGAAGAATAAGAGGATTACATCCACTAGAACTCTTCAACATTAGGGTTTTTAGTTTTGTAAAAAAACTTCTGTACATGGGTCAAAATAATTTTTGTAATCTAAAAATAACTATACCAAGTGCATTTGACTAAGCAAATAATTTAGCACAACTATCACATAATCAACTGTATGAGATGCAGAGATTACAAAAGTTGAGCTGCAAAAAATGCTGTTAGGCCTCTGCATCACAAAATCAGCTTTCTTAAGACATTTCAAATTCAAATATGTATTAATATCAAAAGTGAGAATATTATATAACATGGCATGTAGCATACTATTTTCCTCCTCTGGTTCCATAAAGAAAAAGAAAGCCTAGAGAAACCTTTAAATACCACCACAAGAAAAATTGAACAATGGAGTGGCATACCTTCAACTAGCAACATTTTAGTCTGATCTTTCTTGTTTTCCAGCATATCTACATGGACATAAGTAGCTCCATTGCAAACCTCATCTAGAGCGTTGTCCAGAAGCTCAGCAAAAGCTGAATACCAGAAGTACAATCAGTAAAATATAAAAGCTTCTGTTTTTATAGAAAAAAAACAGTAATAAATCAATGTTCACAATTCCATGAAGTTTTACCTCCCAGAGCCCATTTATGGCTGGTAGCATTTGAATGTAAAAACTTAGGATGAACCCTGACACGGTCCATGCCAACTGCAGGAACAAAATAAACAAATTAGAATTTCTGGTTAATATTGCAGTGACAGTTGCTCAATAAGTAAAGGTAACCATGTATGAGGGACGACAGGAGATGAAATTGGCAAACTAATTGCTTTTTCTTTTTTTCTTTTATTTTTTGCGAAATAAGTACTTAAAATTATATGGTTTTTTTCATCTATAATTTTATCTTATGTTCATATAATATTTATCTAATTAAAATGAAAAAATATTGGATGTTCGGAATATATTTCATTTCCGTTTTCTTATTGTATTTGTGCTAATGTGCATATGTTATGCCGTGTAGTATCGTGTGTCCGTGTCATTGTGTGCAATGACTTTAACTTCCATTTTGTGTGAGTTAAATTCTGCAGGAACAATTATTTGTATTATATGATCTCCAATATGTTCTTATCTAAGCCTACCCACCATAAAAGGAAAAAATGAAACTTGAACGCATACTTATACACCAAATCCTATAGAAATTAACCTAATCCCCAAAATTTATCACTTTAATGCAGAATCACAGGAAGAACTTAGATAATTATAGTTTTTCCTTCTTCTTTTTTCACTCAATGTGCTGAATTTTCAAAAATTATCTAGTGCATAAAAAGAAAATAATCACCAAAATTATCAGAATCTGTATTTGCCTGGTTGGGATTGTTTTTTTTTTTCAAAAAAAAAAACCAATTTCTTTAAACAATCAATAATTGATGCACATTAAACTTCAATCAATCACATTAAAGAAGCGTATGGATACTGGTCCTAGTCCTAGAACAATCACTTTTTGCAAAATAATGACAAAAATTAGGGTTTTCAACAATCTTTTCCACCCCCACATATGCAAGACATACACTCGGTGTAGCTTACGGACTAAAATAATTCTATTAAACCATACAAACAACAACAACAACAAAATTAAGAATTACCCGAAAGTGAACCAGATTCATCGCCATTGCTGCCCTCGTAATCTCCTGCTTTCCAAAACTGCTTACAGCCCTGCGTGCAATTACCAACTGTGTTATCAGGTAACGGCGACGAGGATTTCACCATAGAACGATCAGTGTTTGCAACAATGGCTCCCCCTGGCGGAGGAAGCGGCCGTCGAATGGGATCAAGAAATCCAACAGGTAATGCAGCATCAATCTTCAGCCGCTTCTTCCTTCTCAAAATTCCTTCTATATCCAAGTCTTGATCCAAATCAACATCAGAATCAGAATCCGAATCACTGCTACTATCAATATCAATTAAATCGCCCATTGACTGCCCCCTGACACCGGAACTACTCATCCTGTATTTCTCTGGCAATTCGATCGCTTCAATGTTTTCCTCTTTAATTTTAACATCCATGTTGCCCCCAACAAAACAGAGTGAATTCAGGTTTAAAGTAGTAACTTTCTAGACAGAAAAAGTAGAGAGAAGGATTTTTCTGTGCAAGAATCCAATTAATGGCCGCAAGAACAGAAATAGATATTAGGGTTTTGAAGATTCAGGGGGTGAGGGGTGAGGGGAGAGAGAGGGTTGCGTTCGAATTCTATTTCAGTCTCCAACGGCGCGAGTTCGGTTTTCTTATATAAGAATCTTAAACGTAGCACACGTGTGCGATCACGTGAGTACCCTCTTCATGCACCGAGTTGCGACTATTATTACACAAGAATTGGATTCAAGTTGTGTAATTTATCTTTGGTACAGGGCCTTAAGGAGTACAACCGAGCTTCTAAATAATTACAATATTTATAAGTTGTCACTATCAATTAGAATGGTGTATTGTTTCTCATATTTTTTTACTAAGTTCTGGAGAAGTCCAACTGGGACAAAGTCTTCATATTTGAAGAATTACTTTCCTAAAGGCTTATGACTTGTACAGCAAGTTGGTTCTTGGTGATTAAGAGAGTTGTGTCTAATTAGGTTTGCTATTTTAAAGTTTATTGATATGGTAACTTTTTTGTATGCAAGTTGTGGAATTTCTGTCTAATAAAAAGTTGAGTGTTAAAAAGGCTCCAATAATGGAGTTGAATTGAGAAAGGAGAGAAGAAAATAAAGTATATATAATTTGTGTTTGAAAGATGTGAGCGTGTGTATGGTTGAATATTTTTCTTCTTTGATTCATAATAGTAGAGATTTTCTCTTTCCATGAACATAGCCTTAATTTGGATGAACCCACTTTATGCTATTGATGTGACAATGATACTTTCGACTTGATTAAAAGTGTCATACATTTTAAAATTATTATTTTTTAGGGGTACAAATTAATAAGGACAAGGCCCCAATAATGCAAGAATACAGTAGGATACTCAAAAAATAAAAAAAATAAAAAAGTGTAGGGGCACATTTTAACATAATACGGGTCAATTTGTATAAAAATGTAAAAATAAAAATCAGGTTTAAATGTCGGATAACAAACCTAAACTTATTCATATCTTCTGTTTATTTTTTTGCTTGAATTTGTGTTCTCACTTCTAGTTCTCATATCAAAATGAGGATAAATAGATAATAGAAGAAAATGTGAAAATATCTCTTAGGGTGTGTATGGTATTATCAATAAATTGAAAAAAGTTAAATTTTTTATAATAATATATATATATATTTTATTTCTTTATTTTTTTTACATATCCTTGCCAGTATCCATGCCAATTTTTTTTTTGATGGGAGAAAGACCGTGACCGTTACGATAGGAGAGAGAATGATAAACAAATGGCAAAGAGAAATAAAAATTAGAGTTTTGGTGTTTTGATTGATTGAAAGATACTTTAGCACATGTAACAATATATATGGGTAATATCGTAATCATCTAATATAAAATTATAAATGAAGCGAGGCGGGATATCTATACCACTTCATTCTAATTAACCAAAAAAAGAGAGATTAGATCGAGATAATGTATTTATTTATTATTTTTCCCCAATTGCAAGATTTCGTGAATAAAAAATATATCAATATAATTTTTACCCATAATTTTATAAACATAGGATGAAAAAAAGATTTTTTCCTTATGACATATTACCAATAAACCACAATGATTGGAGGGTGTATGTAAGCATTCTTGCTCTGATGGATGGAATAAAATGATGAGAGAGAGATGGTTGTGTCATGGTTATGGGAGAGACCAAGAGTTCTCTCATTGTCGCCGTGATGAGAAATGGGGATAGAGAAAGACGAAGTGATGAAGGAGAAGTAGTTGCATCGCATTGATAAGAGAGAAGTTGCGATGATTTAGATAAGCTACGCTAGAAGAGAGATAGTGGTTGTTGTAATGAGAGAGAATAACAGGTGAATGGTGAAGGCAAATAAAAATTAGGGTTTTTTTGTTTTGATCAATAGAAAGATATTTTAGCACATATACTAATATATATGGGCAATATCATAATCATGCAATATAGACAGTGCAGGGGTGTATATCCCCGTCCTCGCCCCACATTCGCCCCATACCCGTACGGGTTTTCTCCCCCACACCCCAAACCTGCCAAACTTTAATTAACCTAAAAAAGAAATAAAAAAAGTTAGAGATAATGTATTTATCTTAATTTTTTTTCTTCGATGGCAAGATTTCATAGACAGAAAATAAATCATATAATCTTTACCCAATATTTCATCAACATAAAAGGAAAAGGGTAATTTATACAGATTTTTCCTATGATTTGCTCTAATTACAGGGAACACCCTTCCTGTTTCGGAAATTACGCGGACTTCCCTTACTTTTGAAAATATCCTACACGGACCGCCCTTTCGTTCAACGCCAGTCAACGACGAAAATTGATGATGTCATATACTATTTTTACTAAAATTCCTAAAATACCCTTGTCTATATAATTTCATTTTATATTTAAAAGATATATATATATATATATATATATATATATATATATATATAATTAGGAAAAATTGAACAAGCAAGCTTCTGATCGGCCAGCAAATACCAGAAATTAAAAATTTCGACAGTAAAGACACGGTGGTTGTGGCGAGGACGGCGGCCAGAGAGAAGTTTAGGTCTCTTTAATTCTGAACAATTCCGGCAAAAGGAACGGTGACTGCGAACAATTGGGTTTGTGGGTATGACATTTGCGGTTGGGTTTATTGTATACTAATGTACTATGTGTGTGTGATTTGTTGTTACAGAAATTTTGAAACAGATGGATGAATTAGAGAGGCAATCGATGAAGCTGCGAAGGCAAAGACTCATCGAGATTGGAGATTGGAACTGCTTAGTGGCCAAAATCGAAAAGTGATTAGTTTTAAGAATTTTTCTGATGGGAATTGCCCAATTCTTTAAGGAGAAAGAACAAATTGGGTCTTTATTGAGAGTTGCTTTGTCAACAAGGATGATAGCTGATCTGTCATCCAAAACAAATAAATTATTTGAAATTGTAGAAAATGGATTAATAAATAAAGGAATTTTCCAATAAAGGAATTTTCCAAATAAACAAATTAAGGAATTTTCAATTGAGCCTAATTTGGCTCAATTGGAATGCTTCATCTTTGGAAACAATAATTATACAAACATGACAATCAAATTTTATTTTGATTTTTGTTTTACTCAACACATATTCCATCACCCAAATGCACTATTTAAAGACATAGTGATGATGATAATAAAGTCCATATACTATTTGGACTTACTTTGCACTTTTCATAGCATTTTACTTAAGGTTCTGTAATACGTAAAATTGATAGAGAGAGAGAGAGATTGTACTTGAACACGATGCTAATGTATACTAATGTACTGTGTGTGTGTGATTTGTTGTTATAGAAATTTTCAGCCATTGACTTTTGCAAATTACAGTCGTTGGGGAGGTCTGTGTTCATGAATTGGCTTACCTTAAAGAAAACCCAATTCATGAATCGTCGTTGCCGCTGCCAACCTTCACCCACCAGCAAATCATTTTGGCAACCTCTTCCTCCACCTCACGCACTGTTTATCTATCTCTCTCCTCACTTTCTAATTTTACGCACACACTACAAATATACACACACACACACACAAAGATGGAGGAAAATTGAGATGTTGGTGGTGGTGGTGGCCCCAAACAGTTTAAGATTTAAATTTTTTTTTTATTTCTCTCCTTCTCTCTCTCTCTCTCTCTCTCTCTCTCTATATATATATATATATAGGATACTTCAGATTAAGGGTATTTCAGTAAATTAACCAAGTCCGTTAGTGTATTTAACGGTTCGTCACACATAAGGGAGGTCCGTGTAGGATATTTTCAAAAGTAGGGGAGGTCCGCGTAATTTTCGAAACAGGATGGGTGCTCCCTGTAATTAGGGCAAATCATAGGGGAGGTCTGTGTAAATTACCCAAAAGAAAATAATACTGAAAAGTAGCATCAGATTTTATCCTAATTGCATACTTATCTGTAACAACCCGAACCCGGAGGTCCGAACCGTTAGCCGGGTCCTGACTCGAACCCGAGGTTAACTTCGTCAAATTCTTCATGGCATGCATCAAAACATCATCCTTAGGACTATCACTTTGCATCCACAATAGTTCAAATGAATTCCCAGTAGTTCGGAGAAAAAAAATAGGAGAGGAAGAACATTTGGCCCAAACAGAAGCACTTCGGTCGATCGAAGTGGAGCTTCGGTCGGCCGAAGCAGATCCTCCAGAATTGGTTGACCAAAATAACCCTTCGGTCGACCGAAAGGTGAGATCCTGAGAGTTGAAAAAGGTTCGGTCGACCGAAATGGGAGATGCTGAGAATGTGCCATTGGTTTAGTCGACCGATACACCATTTCGGTCAACCAAAATGGCTTCCTCGAGCCTTGGAGCTGAAACTAAGGTGCTGCACTTTGAAGGAGGAAAGAAACTGGAATGGGGACCCTGCAATTACTCCAAACTTGTTCCATACAATAAAAAATGTGTTACTTAATGGTCATAGGCTAGATTACCAACACGTGGTCATATAAAACATTATTGGAATTAATTACATGAGTTTCAAACTTAAACTTTACGTCATGAACAATTTACATCAAAATGAGTTTACAATATCGAGTTACATTATTATTTATAAACCAAATGAACTTAATACACTTCATGGCAAGAGCTTTACAAAACGAATTCAGGTTCTCCAAAAATGTCCATTCAAGTTCCCTCAAGACTGTGGTGGATTTTCATCTGCCAATTCCTTACTATGACCTGAAAAATATTAAGTATGCAGGGTGAGCAATTTGCTCAGCAGGTGGCACTTAAGACATGTTTCTTGTGTCCCCGTGAATCCAAACAATGAATAGGACAATGAGAAGCGGGATCATACCATGTCGGGAAAATACAACGTTATATCCAAATCTCAACATAAACAATACGGTGCAATGTAATGCAATACATGCCAATATTGCTCCCCATTTTAAACATTCAAATCCATCACTTTTCAATTCGTTATTGTAACCCCCTTTGGTACCCCCTCAGCGACGAGAGAAGGATTGGCTACTGTCCCTGACTGTTGGTACCTCCGTAACATCATTATGGGGCCCAGATAGCTCAACCACGCTAGAGCAGTCTTCCTAGTTCCCTCTAGG